CGGCTCAGCAAGGACAAGTGCCACAACCTTCTTCTAATGAACAGAACAATTCAGGAGATATTGATCCTGAGTTTCTTGCTGCACTTCCTCCTGATATCCGAGCTGAAGTTCTGGCACAGCAACAAGCACAAAGGCTTCATCAGTCTCAGGAACTTGAAGGTCAGCCTGTGGAGATGGACACGGTTTCAATAATTGCAACATTTCCTTCTGAGTTGCGAGAAGAGGTATGAGTGACACTAAAACTTCATGGCTATGGAATAGGATTTAAATATATCCATCTAACCTTTTTTTTGTATTCAGGTATTGTTGACGTCATCTGATGCTATTCTTGCAAATCTTACACCTGCGCTTGTCGCGGAAGCAAATATGTTGCGTGAAAGGTTTGCTCATCAATACCACAACCGTAGTACTCTGTTTGGTATGCATCCAAGACTTCGTAGAGGGGAGCCATCCAGGCGAGGTGAAGGTGTTTTGTCCGGAATTGAGAGAAATGAGGGGGGTGCTTCTCGTAGGTCTGCTGCAAAGGTTATAGAGACCGATGGAGCTCCTTTAGTCAACACTGAGGCACTCCAAGCAATGATTCGCGTACTTCGCATAGTTCAGGTAATTACCTAATGCATCTTTCACTCAATTTAGATATTTAACCGCCTTCACTTTGATAATTTATCTATATTTCTTTGGTCTGCAGCCTCTATACAAGGGTCCTCTGCAGAGGCTTTTGCTGAATTTATGTTCTCATGGCGAAACAAGGTTTTCCTTAGTTAATACATTCATGGATATGTTGATGCTCGACACAAGGAAGCCTGTTAACTACTCAAGTGTTTCCGAACCACCTTATCGTCTTTATGCATGTCAAAGCAATGTAACATATTCACGTCCTCAGCACTTTGATGGTATGAGTTTTTTAGTCTGGATTATAACTGGAAATACTCTTACAATATTTCATGAGCTGTATGTGTCTGCTGTTCATAAATCTCGGAGCTAGAAGTTTATAATCTTTGTAAATTATTTTGCAGGGGTTCCTCCTCTAGTGTCTCGGCGTGTTCTTGAGACATTGACTTATTTGGCTCGAAATCATATGTACGTAGCAAAAATTCTGCTTCAATCCAGGCTTTCACTGCCTTCCTTGCAAGGTTCAGCACCTTCAGACAAAGCACATGGAAAAGCTGTGGTAGTAAGTGATGATTATATGGGCAGAGAGCAGCACGAACCTGAATCTATAGCCTTTGCGTTACTTCTCAGCCTCTTGAACCAGCCCCTTTATTTGAGAAGTGTGGCTCATCTCGAACAGGTATTTCTTTTTTTTTCCAGTGATATGGTGTAGTTTTGTTTAGTTTTATTGTAATGAACTCACGTATGGATGTGTTTACTCATCATATAATCCAGCTGTTAAACTTACTGGAGGTCATCATTGACAATGCTGAAAGAAAGTCCGATTCAGCTGACATATCAGATGGGTCTGCCAGTCAGCAGCAATCAACACCTCAAGGATTAGAAGTTGAAAACAGTTCAGAAAATCATGATATTGTATCTGGCTCTACTGATACAGTAACCAAGCCAATAGATTCATCGGCAAGTTCTTCCACCAGAGCAGAGAGTGAATGTGATGTTCAGAGTGTGTTGCTGAATCTTCCCCAGTCAGAGCTGTGTCTACTTTGTTCCTTACTTGCACGTGAAGGGTATGTCGGATGCTTATCTACGAGAACTCCTTACTTTCAATCATAAGCTTAAACGTATATGTTTCTACATCTTGTCTTACTACTTATTTTGTTCATTCAGTTTGTCAGATAATGCATACACCCTTGTGGCGGAGGTGCTGAAAAAACTTGTGGCAATTGCTCCAAGTCATTGTCATTTGTTTATAACTGAGCTTGCAAATGCAATACAAAACCTGACAAGAACAGCGATGAGTGAACTTCACATGTTCGGTGAAGCAGTCAAAGCGCTGCTAAGTACCACTTCATCTGATGGATCTGCAATTTTGAGGGTTTTGCAGGCATTGAGCTCCCTCATTGGTTCCTTAATCACAAAAGGAAAAAACCTGCCACAGAATTCAGAAGAGCACGTTGCTGTGCTTTCTCAACTGTCGAACATCAATTCAGCTTTGGAACCTCTGTGGCTGGAGTTAAGCAATTGCATATGCAAAATTGAGGGGCATTCTGAGTCTTCAACTATTATTATATCTCCATCTTTGAGCTCAACAACGAGGGTAGCTGGAGTAAGCCAGTCACTTCCTGCTGGTGCCCAGAACATATTGCCTTACATAGAGTCATTTTTTGTTACTTGTGAGAAGTTGCATCCATCACAGTCAGGTTCAGGTCAGGATTTTGGTGTTCCCATGGCTTCTGAAGTTGAGGAACAGTCCAAGGGTCCAGGACCTAGCTCCAAGGTGGATGAGAAGTATGCTTCTTTTATCAGGTTTTCTGAAAGGCACAGGAAACTTCTTAATGCTTTTATCAGACAAAATCCTGCTCTGCTTGAGAAGTCCTTTTCACTCATGCTGAAGGTTCCACGTTTTATTGAATTTGATAACAAACGTGCATACTTCAGATCAAAGATAAAGCACCAGCATGATCATCACCATAGCCCTTTGAGAATCTCTGTGAGGAGAGCATACATTCTTGAAGATTCGTACAACCAATTGCGTATGAGGACAACTCAAGAATTGAAAGGTAGATTGACTGTTCATTTCCAAGGAGAAGAAGGTATTGATGCGGGTGGGCTTACCAGGGAATGGTATCAGCTGTTGTCAAGGGTTATTTTTGACAAAGGAGCTCTTCTGTTCACAACTGTTGGCAATGACTCAACCTTCCAACCAAATCCAAACTCTGTTTACCAGACAGAACACCTCTCCTACTTCAAATTTGTTGGCCGTGTTGTAAGTTTCAGGTCCTTTTAAGAATGACTTAGACGTAGTACTCTGGTATATGCATTAATTTCTAATTTGATCTGTGCAGGTTGGAAAAGCTCTATTTGATGGGCAACTCCTTGATGTCCATTTCACTCGTTCCTTTTACAAGCATATCTTGGGAGTTAAGGTTACATACCATGATATTGAAGCCATAGATCCCGATTACTATAAAAACCTGAAATGGATGCTGGAGGTATCTATACTGTTGCGGCACTTGTTAATCTTTAGATACTTTGTTTGTTTCATGAAAGAAACTGCACTATCAAATATTCTTGTTACTCATCTGTTGTTCCATATGCAGCATGATATTAGCGATGTCCTGGATCTCACTTTTAGCATTGATGCTGATGAGGAAAAGCTGATACTGTATGAAAAAACGGAGGTAACTTGTTCAGTCTTTCAATAGTGTCAATAAAATATTGGTGTTTCTATCTTTTCTTTTGCTAAACTTCTAGATATAAAATTGCAGGTAACTGACCATGAATTAATCCCTGGAGGTCGGAACATTAAAGTTACTGAGGAGAATAAGCACCAATATGTTGACTTAGTTGCTGAGCATCGATTAACCACAGCCATCCGTCCTCAGATAAATGCATTCCTGGAAGGGTTTAGTGAACTTATCCTTAGAGATTTAATATCCATTTTCAACGACAAGGAATTGGAGTTATTAATTAGTGGTCTTCCTGATATCGACTGTAAGTGATCCCGTACCAAGAAATTCATGGCAATTTCTGATAGTTTTTAAGACTGTCCAGGGCAAATACAAGAAGAGGTTTTATTGACTTATATCGTGTTATATATGTATCAGTGGATGACCTGAGGGCGAATACAGAATATTCTGGGTACAGTCCTGGATCCCCCGTTATTCAGTGGTTCTGGGATGTTGTTCAGGGATTGAGCAAAGAAGACAAGGCTCGTCTACTGCAGTTTGTGACTGGAACCTCCAAGGTAACAAACATATTACACTTATGTGGCCTTAGGCTTATATTCACATCTTGGCTGAACTACATTATCCAAAGTAAATGGATATGTCAATCTCTAACCATTAGACAATGATAAATTGGAAATGGGTGTTTTTAAAAAGTGTGGTTGAGACTAATATTTGAAGTCCAACAGGTTCCACTGGAAGGATTTAGTGCCCTTCAAGGAATTTCAGGTGCACAGAAGTTTCAAATCCACAAGGCATATGGAAGCGCAAATCATTTGCCGTCTGCACATACCTGGTAAAAATCTCAACCCCTCCTGACTGTTTTGTAACGATGATGATGATCCCCCAAAATATTAAACTTAATAATATCCAAAATGCTTTTGCAGTTTCAATCAATTAGATCTACCAGAGTACCCGTCTAAGGAACATCTGCAAGAGAGGCTACTGCTTGCGATCCATGAAGCCAGCGAAGGATTCGGCTTTGGCTAAAACACAAGAGTTCCCCCAAGATTTTTCGACTACTTTTTTTCTTCTTCTTTTTTTGCTTATTTTTTTCTTACATACATATATATTTTGGTAACGACTTTGTGAATGAGTAGTAGTATTTCTTTCTACAATACAGTGGCTCTTTTATATTATGGGCAAAAAGAATGATTCTCCAACCCCATCATATGTGACTATTTCTCTCACTCCCTTGATGTAAAAGTTAACTAATACGTGGTCGTATCCTTTCCAATGAGTATTCTTTACTAGCCATAAAAGTTAACTAATTCATCTTAGCTCTAACGAATTATGTGATCGATCGCTTGGAAGAACTCAAAAATGAGTAACAGACGTAATTAAGATAGTTCGATACCATTTAAAAGGTCGATCGTGGTAACAATATAGTATGTATTTATTCAAAAGAATTCGCTTTTAATGGATATTAAAAAAAAAAAAAAAAACAAAGTAGCAGCAGAGCAAAAATGGGAAGCGGAAGCGTTGACTGTTGTATAAATAAATCAACACAGACGAAGAGGCTCACTCATGTTGTACGCACGCACGTACCTATTATGGTGTAGCGTTTAACGGGTGCACCTTACCACAGAGGATCACTATTTCCTCTTCCCTCAGAAAACGGAAAAAAAAAAGTCGTCTTCATCGTTCCCGCTCCCACGCCCACGCCTCTCCCTCGGATCTTCCATCTCTCTCTCTCTCAATCCCCACAAAAAAAAAAAACAAAAAACAAAGACTGAGTCGTAATTTTTCAGACGTATCAAAACTTTCCCCATCTCTAATTTTTCAAAACTTTTGGCTTCCCGAGCTATGAGCGCAGTGCGTGTGCGTCTGCTTCCGCTGATTTTAGCTTGATCGGAATAAGAAACCGCCGTGTTTCCTAGATCGTAATTTTTGGAAAAAAATGGTAGCTTTCGTCTTCATGCTTATCTTCACGATCGGTGTGATCGTCGCACTCCTTTGGGCTTTCTTCAAGTATGTTCCATTTTTCGCCCCATCATTTATATTGCTTTTGTACATTCGTGTTTCCTATGAATCGTCTTCATCGTTTGCTAGTTTCTGATTTTGAGTAAATCGAGTGTGTGGAAGAACTTAGATATCTGTTGCTGATTTACATAAGTTTTTGGAACATTGATGGGTATTAAGGTGTCATGCTACCAGTTTTGAGTTTATGAATAGTGTTGCATAGGCTGTGTAATCGATTTTGGAAACAATGATGAGGACTATGCTGTTTGAGTATAAGAACTTTAGTGTCGCCTATTTAATCTACAATTCTTTGGTTCCTCACTCAGAAATTGAGTTTTTTGATCTTTCGATTTAACCTTGGCCTCAACTCTAAATAGGTCACTCCCTTGGATTCTCCGGCAATTTGCTGGAATTACTCTCAGTTATCAGTTTGATAGATGGAATTGCTTGAAGGATGTTGCATTGCATTTCAAGAAGGTTCGTTTGTCTCTTTTACTTTGTTAATTTGAAGTCAAAATCAGTTTATCTTTGTGATCTCTGGTTTTAACTACTCGAGACTATGTTTGTTGTTATTTTTCTTACAGGGTTCTGTTGAATCTGTCTTCGTTGGAGAATTTAAAGCCACTCTAAGTCAATCACTGGTTGAACTTTTTGCCACGGCTTTTATCCAGGATCCTAAAGTGATTTTCTCAATTTGTGACCTGAAAATAGTAACTAGACCCTCCAACTCACGTAAAGGTCCTCGGAAATCAAAAACTCGGAAATCGGGCTCTGGTGGCAAAGGAAAGTTGATGCTATTCGCTAATATTGGGAGATTCTTTTCACTCTCCATGACAAATTTGGTTGTGCAGGTAATTGCAGCCTGCTCTGATATCTGTAAAACTCTTTTTATTCGGTTCAGCTTCATGCTATAGTTCCCTTTCATTTTTTCTTGTTGAGATAGTTTTAGTGAAAGCAGCATGAATAGTAGTGATGTTACTAGTTTCAGTTGTTAGTACCATTAAGACAATTATAGTGAAAGGTTCACTTGCGCTGAGCTTCATTACTTTTGATGAAATCTTATCTCACTGGCTACATATATATAGAGTAGTACCATATTGACAGCAAACCAAGATATATCTCCCATGATGAGGTGCTTTATGCTCAAATGACTGTTAGCTTTCTGTGCTTCTGTTAACTTATTCCCTATAGAAGATATACTTGTTTAACTTAAAAACTATTTTGACTAGGTGGAACCAAAATTAGGCTTTTTTAGAACTATACTAACCATGTGTTCTACTTGTTGTTCTTATTTCCTCTTGCAAAACTGCAGACACCTAAAGCTACAGCAGAAATCAAGGAGTTGGAGCTCGATTTATCAAAGGACAGAGGTTCAGGGAATTTTTTCATCAAACTGTACCTATTGCCGATATTTGTACAGATTGGTGAACCACATGTTACTTCCACTCATTCACCTGAGAAGAACAGTGACACTTGCCTCGATAGGCAGACATCTTCCAAAACCGCAGAGGGATCTTCTTCCTCCTCTTCTTTTCTTTGCGAAAAGCTCTCGCTCTCCTGCGAATTTGGTCATAATAGGTACCTTTTGCTTGACATCCATCCTATTAACGTGTTCTGTTATTTAGAAAGATGAAGTTCTGTTACCTGAACTCATATACATACACACTCATATGAATTTTTACCCCATCTGCATTTACTTTTTAATCTTCATGGCTGCTATATTTTGATTTTCCTCAAGCAGACAATCAAGTCCAAGTATAAAAAATGTCGAAGTAGACCTAGCTGATGCTGTTCTTAACCTTAACGAGAGGCTGCTGTTGAAAAAAAAATCCTCGACAAGTGCTGCTTCCACAGGTGAAGTGATTGAATCGAGTTCTAGTTACACCACTTCAGAGAAGCCTCCAAAGCAACCAATGAATGTTTTGGTTGCAAAGCATGCTTCAAAATTTCCTGAGAAGGTGAGTGATTTATTTTTAGCATGAGATAACTACAAGTATCTTTTACTGATAATCTATACACAAATGCATGTCTTTTCACCACATGGGAATAAATTGGCTCATTCAATTTCTCCCATGTGGCATCACCTATCGGATTAGAATTGCTAAACTATGTTTCTCTAAGTTACAGTTAGCAACCATGTAAGATTAATATTTGCTTCCACAATGAAGGAGTTTATGCATATGCTGTACAGTCAATACACTAGATGAAGTCTTATAATTGTGTGTTTGACTTTATGTGGTAGGTTTTATTTGATTTGTCGAAGCTTGAAATCAGATTTGTGCATCAAGAACGTGATTTTTCTATCGCGAATAGCATATCAGGATTGCAGTTGAGAAGTGCCAAATCCCAATCCGGTGAAGATGGCAGGGAAGACACATGTCTTGATTTTGTCATGGAACTTCGGGAGATGCATGTATGTTAATAAGCAGTTTTCCTAGTAATAACCCAGTAAAATTTTCGTTTTGATGTACCATCACCTTTTTGCTGCCATTAAATGTCTCTTTCATCTCAGCTTTTCAGAGAATCTGAAGTTTCTGTCTTAGAGATGAAAAAATTTGGAGTTTTCTCCAAGGTGTATTGTCCAATACAGGTGAGTCCTCTGAATTACAGACAGAAGTCTTTTGTTGTTGTGCATGTGTTTCTGTTGCTTTTGCCTTGGAAATGGTTAGAAAATACAGCTTATACAATGTGATTACCCTCCTTTTGGTTTTATAGTTTAATTTGTTTCACACATTTGTTGCAATTCTAACAAAAAGGCCTTCATGATTTGACGTATTACCTGATCTTGGTGTTTCTCTCAGGAATCTTTGCCTGTTAGAGCAGAGGTTGAGATTAAGCTGGGAGATATAATGTGCAACATGATAATGACAAGATTTGAGCCGCTGTTGCGTTTGCATTTCTCTAGAAAGAAAAAGATGGTTCTCAAAGAGGAAAGACCTAACATTGCAAAATCAGAGACTACTAGTTTTAAGGCTGTGGTATGGAAATGTGCCACCTCTGCCCCTGATGTGAGGGTGGTGCTATACAATCTTAGAGGTTCTCCTATCTACCAAGTAAGTAGAAGGCGTGTGTTTGCTGCTATATTATTGGTCCTAAATTCAGGAACCTTATTCAGTATTTTAATATTTGTTTGTTTCAGTATATGAAATATTATGATTCGTAAAACTCACAGTCTTCAATAAGCATCAACAAGGTTTAGCAAGAATATTTAGGAATCAACCTCAACACTCACTTTAGTTTCATATTTTTTGCAGTGCTGCTTAAATTCATTTCAGGTCACTGCCGATAATATGTCAACCAGAGGAACAGTTGTACAGATTGAGCTAAATGAACTGAATTTGTGCATGGTAGATGAAAACCAGGGATGTTTAAAAGAAAGCCTCTTTGGTTTAGAGTCAACCCCAGGTTCATTAATCAGTATAAGAAAGGTCAGATCAGAAATGGGAAAGAAAGAGGGAGTGTTACCTGAGGTTGATGGTTCTAAAGGTAAACAAACACTGGTGGTTGACGTATCAGAAATCAGTCTGTTATTTTCTTTCAGGAGTTTTGAAGCACTTGTAGTAAATGCAATGTCAATTCAGGGTTTCGTCAAAAGTTTAACCGGTACTAGTAATAAGAACAGACAGGAAAAAGTAGAACATAGATCAAAGCCATCGGGTAGGGGGACGCAACTCTTGAAATTCAATGTTGAACGTTTCTCTGTGAATTTCGCTGGAGATTCAAGCCTGGACAATATAGTCATTGATGATCCTAAACGTGTCAATTATGGATCACAAGGTGGAAGAGTAATAATTAGTGTCTCAGCTGATGGAACACCCCGGACTGCCACCGTTTTCTCTACTTTATCCAAGGAACATGAGAAGTTGAAGTACATAATTTCGTTTGAAATACTGAAATTCGGCTTTACTTTGAACAAGGAGATTCAGTCTACACAGGTAGAACTTGAAAAAGCAAAATCGATCTACCAGGAATTTTTGGAGGAACCTCACCAAGTTTCCAGTGTGACACTTTGTGACATCCAAAATGCTAAGTTTGTACGTCGTATAGGCGGTGCTAAGGAACTTTCAATCTGCTCGCTCTTCAGTGCCTCTAATATTGCCGTCAGATGGGAGCCTGATGTGCACATATCAATGGTCGAGCTTGGTCTGCGTTTGAAGTCCCTGGTCTTATCTCAGAAACTTAAGCAACAAGGAAACCAAGAAGATGCGTCCAGTGTAACAGGTGATAGACAGAAGGAAGAACCAACTACTAGTCCGAATTCTGTTGATAAGAAAAAGAAGAAGGAATCTATATTTGCTGTTGATGTAGAGATGTTGAGCATAACTGCGGAGGCTGGGGATGGGGTGGAGGCTGAGGTACAGATTCAGTCAATTTTCTCAGAGAATGTGGGTATTGGAGTACTGCTGGAAGGATTTATGCTTGGTTTTTGTGGATGTAGAATAGTCAAAAGTAGTCGGGTACAGATATCACGAATTCCCAGCATGCCTTCCACTACATCCAGTGCAACAACAGCAACAGGAACCCCATGGGATTGGTTAGTTCAAGGAGTTGATATACATATATGCATGCCCTTCAGGTTACAGCTCCGAGCTATTGATGATGCTGTCGAAGAAATGCTGAGGGCTTTGAAGCTTGTAATCAACGCCAAAACCAAACTCATTCTTCCAATAAAAAAGGAAAGCTCGAAACCTGGGTCGAAAAAATTTGGATGTATAAGATTCGGCATTCGCAAGTTAATATTTGATATTGAGGAAGAACCCCTCCAGGGTTGGCTTGATGAGCATTATCATCTTATGAAAAAAGAAGCCTATGAGTTAGCCGTAAGGTCGAAATTCCTTGATGAACTAATTTCCGGGGGAAGCCAGGTTCCTAAAACTGGGGAAGATGAGTCAGACAGTGAGAAGAAATTTTCTTTTGAGGGAGAAGAAATTGACACGCAAGATCCTTCCATTATCCAGAGGATGAATGAAAAATTATATAAACAATCGTTCAGTTCATACTACAAGTCCTGTCAAAGTTTGAGACCAGCAGATGGTTCAGGTGCCTGTAAAGAAGGATTTCAGGCTGGTTTTAAGATGAGCACTTCTAGGACATCTCTACTTTCTGTTTCTGTTACTAATTTGGATCTAAGTCTCACGGCTATTAGTGGAGGTGAAGCTGGGATGATAGAAATCGTTAAGAAGCTTGATCCTCTATGTGAAGAAAAAGACATTCCTTTTTCAAAGCTTTATGGAAGCAATCTTCGGTTAAATACTGGAACTCTTGCTGTTCAAATAAGAAACTACACATTTCCTCTTCTCTCAACAGCTTTGGGTAAATGCGAAGGCCTTCTTGTGTTGGCTCAGCAGGTAAGACTGTCCCCTCTCTTTAGAAAATATCATTTCCCCTTTGATAAAGCCATCCTCTTTTTATTTCTGTGAGAAAGAGTTCCTGGAGGAAGTTTGATGTTTTTTACAGCTTGATAAACGGATCATATTTTCCTCGGCTCTTACCTCTTGTTTCTTCATATGATGTTTCCTCGTTTATGAACCCAACTACAAACATGAAAAATTCACCTTCTAAGCAGATTGAAGACGTGATAATCTAAGTATCCAATAGTAGCTCTGAGATCCCTGCTGTGAGCTAGAGTGGAGTGCTACCAATGGAATTTTACGGAGACTATCCAGTTGAATTAGATAACGTTAGTAGATGAAAAATATAGGCCGTAATATCCTTACATCATCATCTATATGGCTATGCATGAATTTTTCTTTCAAATGGATGCCGAGTTTGTTCCCGCCTGCATCTTTTTGTTCTTATTATGTTTTTCCCCATTCGAAGTATTTCCTATTCTTTACTCTTATTCCTAACCTTTTTTCTCTTATGTTGACATAGGCAACAGCTTTTCAGCCCCAAATAATCCATGATGTATACATAGGACGATGGAGAAAGGTGCAGATGCTCCGTTCAGCCAGTGGAACAACACCCGCAATGAAAACATACCTTGATTTGCCATTACATTTTCAGAAGGGAGAGGTCTCCTTTGGAATCGGATATGAACCAGTACTTGCTGATATTAGTTATGCCTTCACTGTGGCTCTTCGTAGAGCTAATCTCAGTCTCAAGGGTCCTGGTCTTATTCAGCCTCCCAAAAAGGAGAAAAGTTTACCATGGTGGGATGAAATGAGAAATTACATCCATGGTAATATAACCTTATCCTTTTCTGAGACAAAGTGGATTGTTCTTGCTACTCCAGACCCCTATGAAAAGCTTGACAAGCTCCAGATGACCTCTGCCTCCGTGGAAATCCAGCAATCAGATGGCCGTGTGCACTTCTCTGCGGAGGACATAAAAATTTTCTTTAGCAGTTTTGAAGGTTTGGCTAGACATTATCCAAGCCCTCCAATGTGTCCATCCATCTACCCTTTCCTTGAGGTTCCACGTTTCAGTCTTGAAGTCCGGATGGATTGGGAGTGCGAGTCTGGAAGTCCATTGAATCATTATCTGTTTGCCTTGCCTAATGAAGGAAAGGCTCGTGATAAAATTTACGATCCTTTCAGGTCTACTTCTCTCTCACTGCGCTGGGATTTCACTTTAAGACCTAACCCATCAGTATCTCCAGTTGATAAAACAGTAGAAGCTGGATCCAAGTGTAAGCTTGAGAAATCTTCTTTTTCTCCACCCACAATAAACATTGGTGCTCATGATTTGGCATGGTTGATCAGATTCTGGAACATGAATTATCTTCCTCCTTACAAACTGCGCACTTTTTCCCGGTGGCCTCGCTTTGGAGTTCCAAGAATCCCGAGATCAGGGAATTTGTCCCTAGACAGAGTGATGACAGAATACATGCTTCGCTTAGATGTTACACCTATTTGTATCAAGCATATGACTCTGGATTCTAATAATCCTGCCAAAGGCTTGACATTTGATATGACCAAGCTTAAGTATGAAATCTGCTTCAGCCGTGGCAACCAGGATTTTACCTTTGACTGCAAGCGTGAGACTCTTGATCCAGTATACCAGGGAATAGACCTCCATCTGCCTAAAGCTTTTTTAAGAAGGGATCAGGATTGCTCAAAGTCAGCTCAGATGATTCGAACAAGTTCACAATCTGGATCTACTGATAGAGTTACTTCTGATAATGGTAATTCTATCAGTGATTGCGTAGAGAAGCATCCTGACGATGGGTTTTTGTTTTCATCTGATTATTTTACAATCAGGAGGCAGGCCCCTAAGGCTGACCCTGAAAGACTGATGGTATGGAAAGAAGAAGGGAAAATATATCGTGAAAAAGTAGATGCAAAATGTACAACTGAAAGACGAAGTGAACCTGAAGAGGATTCACATTCAGAACCGAGCGATGATGATGGATACAATGTCGTGATAGCCGACAACTGTCAGCGTATTTTTGTATATGGACTCAAACTATTGTGGAACATAGAAAACAGAGATGCTGTTTTGTCTTTTGCTGGTGGGATGTCCAAAGCATTTCAAGCTCCTAAGCCTTCCCCTTCACGTCAGTATGCTCAGAGAAAGTTACTTGAGGGCAGCCAGAAGCATTCTGAATTAGAAGTTCCTCAAGATGACCCAGCTAAACAGCCTTCCACGGGAAATGGAAATCTCACTTCCCAATCTAAGGAGCCTGTGGAAGTTCATTCACCTTCATCAGAACCAAATAAAACAGAGAACTTTGCATCTTTCCCACTTGGTATCTTGCTGACTTACGTCTATTTGTTTGTTTGAAGCTACCATCTGTAGACTGCAGTATCTTAAACCTTAATTTCTATGTTCGTTTTCTTAGCTAACAAGCAAATTCACTTTCCATACGATGTGTACGCCTCACCCTATTTATCTGTCTGATGCAGGAGCCACAAAAATTGGCAATTCAAATGGTTCAGAGGAAGAAGGAACTCGGCATTTTATGGTGAACGTTGTTGAGCCACAATTCAACCTCCACTCAGAAGAAATAAATGTAAGCATACATCAAACTTGAGTATTACAACACTACTTCTGATATGCCTTTTGAAATCCAGAGGAATGCATGTCAACTTGAAGATATGTCATAACATTCTATTACTCTAAATGTTGTTCTGTACGATTCTTTCAATTCCTGGACAAACCTATCTTAAAAAAGATTGTCTTGCAAAGTACTAACTCATCAGGTGATTCTGATATATTAGAATTCTTACAGTTGGGCAGGTGTACCAAATCGATGAAATGAGTTTATTGATCCAAAAGCTTTAGGGTTGAATTTTGTATCTGTAAATCTTTTCAGATACCTTCCAGTGTTTTTCAATTGTCATCATTATTTACATTATCTCTTCATCTACCAGGGTAGGTTTTTGCTCGCTGCTGCCAGTGGCCGTGTTTTAGCACGATCATTTCATTCAGTTGTTCATGTTGCTTATGACATGATTGAGAAGGCAGCTCAAAATGAAAATGAACAAAATCCTGAAAATGGCACTGACATGACATGGACACGCATGGAAGTGTCCATGATGTTGGAGCATGTACAAGCTCATGTGGCACCGACAGATGTCGATCCAGGAGCAGGGGTGCAATGGCTCCCAAAGATTAGAAAAAGGTCCCCAAAGGCAAAGCGAACTGGTGCACTGCTTGAAAGGGTTTTTATGCCGTGTGACATGTACTTTCAATACACCAGGCACAAAGGTGTGACTCCCGACCTGAAGGTAAACCTTTTTTAGTGAAAAACTACGATATTTGTAGTCTTTCTCCGTTGGAGTGATTTTTATGCATCAGTGTAAAGGCCTTAGATACGTTAAGTGCATTAAGTTCAAGAGAGCCTCTGTAGTTCACCAAAGACTTATTTTTAGTTCTCTTTACACACAAAAGTAAGGCTGAAGATCATGTCTACAATTGTTCATACACTAATGTATAATGTTCTTCTCACATACATCCCACAGTATGCACTTCTCTTGGGCTTGCATTGTCTGCGTATCACTACTCTTTTGTAACATTGTTTGAATGACTTATATTACCATCATATACTGCAGGTGAAGCCACTGAAAGAGCTTACCTTCAATTCTCGTAATATTACAGCATCGATGACATCCCGGCAGTTTCAAGTTATGTCGGATGTTTTGTCCAATCTTTTGCTTGCAAGGTTACCAAAGTAAGTGTATAGCTGTGTGAAAGTTATAAACACTTCCTGAATTTTTTACAATTGTAAATGCAAATTTTTCTTTGTAGTTTAAATGTATCCCCTGACTATATTTTATTACTGCAATTGCATATGAAAATTCAGGGCTCATAACGACAGTTTAAAACTTTCTGGTGAAGAAGATGATGAAGTTGAAGAGGAAATTGATGAGGTAGTTCCTGATGGCATTGAGGAGGTGGAACTTGCAAAAATCGAACTTGAACAGAAAGAGAGGGATAGGATGTCGCTTCTTGATGACATCAGAAAATTGACGCAGAGCGAAAGTAACTCAGGAAAGATAAATCTCGAAAAAGAAAACGATTTTTGGATGATTACTGGTGGGAGGCCAGTATTGGTGAGAAAAAAAGTGTTGAAATTTAATAACAAAATTGTCTATCAAATGATATCTTGTGAGCTAAGTATCTCATATGTAGGTGGAAGGACTGAGGAAATCGTATCACAAGGTGCAACAATCTAGGAAGACAGCATATACAGCACTACGAACTTGTGTGAAGAATGCTGCGGAGCTAAGGTTGTTAGAAAAAGATAAGAACAAAAGGCCATCCTCTGCCATGCGCATTTCCTTGCAGATCACCAAAGTCATCTGGTCTATGGTTTTAGATGGGAAAACATTTGCTGAGGTTGAAATAGACAATATGGTAAGCAACTGATTATAATAGGATTAATATACCTTGGGGTGTTTTATTTCAATCCAAATCTTTTTTCTAAAATCTTGGCAAGAAAATTCCTAATATGTGTTTTCACACTGCTTGCAGATTTATGATTTTAACCGGGACTACAGAGATATTGGGATTGCCCAATTCACAACGAGATATGTTGTCCTGCGGAACTGTCTGCCTAATGCCAAGTGTGATACTGTTCTATCAGCTTGGAATCCTCCTCCGGAATGGGGCAAGTGAGTTCCTTTCTTCTAAAACTAGCGCAAGCAATTATTATCCAACTTATTCATTTTTCATTTTACACATCTGTGGAGACTTATAGTCTTGTAGATAATTCGTGATGATTGTATGCTTGTATTCGGTGGATGCTCTTAGTTTTGTTATGCGTAGAATGTCACTGCGGAAAACAAATTTGTTGAGTTTTATATATATTGGATGCAGGAAAGTGATGTTACAGGTAGATGCAAGACAAGGAGCCCCAAAAGACGGACAGGCTCCTTATGAACTGTTCCAAGTACGTTCTTCTTCATATATGTTCTAATGAAACTAGTAGTATGAAGACTAAAAGTCGAGACACGTCAAGCGTGAGCCTAGATTTTCTGGCTGTCGTCTATAGCTATTGACATAGCCTTGTTTTAAAGTTACCAGCTCGGCAGAATTAACCATGGTTTAGTGTGATAAATATTTAATATAGGAGATGCATAATGTTGTAGTCTTTGTACCACTTACTTTTAGGGTCGAGAGTCCAAAACCTCTAGTTAATCAAAGTCTTTTTTGGTGAATAAATGGTATATTTTTTAATTGCAGTCCATTATCACCAGCTTGCATATTGTAAATACTGAAGTATATACTCTATATTAAAATGGATCTCTTGTGTTTGCTTACAGGTCGAAATCTATCCTCTAAAAATCCATTTGACAGAAACAATGTACACAATGATGTGGGAGTATATCTTTCCAGGAGAGGAGCAACATTCACAGAGAAGGGAGGTTTGTTGTTTATCCATTTTACTTCTCTAGCTAATGGGATATAGCTTGCCTGCTAAGGAGTTACGACTCACTCTTGTATTCTCTCCCAGGAAGTTTGGAAAGTGTCAACAACCTCAGGATCAAAGCGAGTCAGGAAAGGTTCATTCGCTGAAGCGGCAGCGTTGCTCACTACATCTGATATAAGCCAGGTGAATTTTGATCTTTGTTATTCTTACATTCATATCATTTCTACAAATATTCATAACTATGTTCTTGAAATGATTTTCAGGGATCAAAGAATCAAAACCTGAAGTCTAGCACGCTCCGTGGTTCAGGGAGAGAACTGAGAAGGACATCCTCTTTTGACAGATCATGGGAGGAGACTGTGGCAGAATCTGTAGCTACTGAGCTTGTTCTATCTAATATGAAGGATTCGAAATCTTCCAAGGCTGGCCGTTCAGTTCATGAAGAAAAAAAGGGGGAAAAGTCATTGGAAGACAAGAAATCTAGGCCCCAAAAGATAATGCAATTCCAAACCATCAAGATAAGTCAGGTCAGTCAGTTGATTCACTCATCTAAGCAAGAGGTTCATGGTTTAACCAAGAAAAGTATATTTAATCGTCGTAATATGGTTCTGGGCTAGGTGGAATTGCTGATCACTTACGAGGGGTCAAGATTTGTTGTGAACGATATGAAGCTGTTGATGGACACATTCCATCGTGTTGAATTCAGCGGAACATGGAGGAGACTCTTCTCACGAGTAAAGAAGCACATAATATGGGGAGTCCTCAAGTCGGTAACTGGAATGCAAGTAAGACCATGTCCAACAGCGATAAATGCATATGGGTTATGCATCCCTGATGAAAGAAAACTCATGTCATTTGATGGTATTTGTAGATGAAGAAATTCAAAGACAAAACCCATGTTCCAAAAGAGGAGATTGGTTTAAGAGACAAAGACGAGTCGGGGAGATTATCAGATCAGAATTCAGGGGTATGGGAGAAGCGCCCTGGCGACAATGCAGGTGACGGATTTGTCACATCGATTAGAGGTATTTTCAATACCCAAAGACGAAAGGCCAAGAAATTTGTGCTTCGGACAATGAGAGGCGAAACAGAAGACAACTTCCCAGGGGAATGGAGTGACAATGAATCAGACTTTTCTCCCTTTGCAAGACAGTTGACGATTACTAAAGCTAAGAAACTCATCAGGCGTCACTCTAAGAAGTTCCAAAATCAAAACACAACTAAAGGTGTTGTTTTAATGTGAAATCTTTTGTTGCTTTCAAGTTTTGTGAGTTGCAAACCAAGCTAAAAGAAAGATATTTCCTTGTGTTGCAGGTTCTAAAAAGCCCCAACTCTCGCCTACTCTGTCTCCTCCTAAGGAAGAAGACCATTACGAAAGTGACTCTTCCAGTGGATCGTCTACTTACGAAGAGTTTCTTGACCAGAATCCGATTTAAGATAGAAATCAAAAATTTTGTTTCCTATAAATTTTGTAAAGAGTTGCAGATTACTATACCACCACGTTTACACTCTTTGAAGATAGCTTACATCAACTGTACTAGCTTAGTGTTGATAAGACTGGCTTATGACATGGAAGAAGGTTTTGTTTGGGAATCATACATTTTTTGGGCTTATGATGGAGTCATGTATGTACTGAATCTAGTAAGTGTAAGTATCAAATTAATACATAATCACAGGTACAGATAAGAAACGCTTCAAACCCATCCCTAGCCCCATAACTTATTTATTTATTTTCTATTGTTACAAACAACTACCCGAGCTAGTCTGATGAAGCTGCCTCACAGTTACACATGGGATCTCAGACCTGATGTCCTTCTAATTAATCAAAGCTTGAACATAAACTAAAATTATTATAATGCTAACATGGGCTAATCAAGGGGAACTTTAATCAATAATCCCAAGAATCTACATAGACATAAGGAAGCTCACCCTTAATATGTATAAATACTCATAACATCTTATGATGAAATATATGGAGAAAAATGTTTAAAGTTTATTGCTCTTATAAGCTCTTGATTGGGATCTCGCTTTTGATTTGGACCACTTTGTGGTATCAATAGCAACCTTCATCCACTATGTATCTTAGTTTTAATATGGACCACGCTTGTGGTATCAAAATCTATTTTTATCATATCTGGTTTTGATCCGGACCACACTTGTGGTGTTAAACCCTATTTTTATCATCTTTTTCGGTTTTGATCCAGCAGCTCCATACGTGAGGTGTCTGTCTATTCTTCTTCTTGTTCTTTACTTACCGTAGCTTTGTGATCACCCGCACCGAGAAGTAAATTCAAGAGTCATGTGTTCTGGTACCCCATCCATGGTTTTCCTTATGATAGCTCTCTTATCAGCAGAGAACCCAGTTGAAGAATCACCTTTATACTTGTAACTTATGTAGAATATTGCATTCTCTGCGTGGAGCTTCTCACGCGCCTCAGTTGTGTAATCTTCTTTAGTTTCTACAACTACCTTGTCGATCTCCAGGGTTGGATAAGCCACCAATTGCTGGAGTCACATTGGCAAGCGTAAGAAGAGGAAAGAGGCAACAAGTAATTAAAAAAAAACAGATTTATATTTTCTGGCAGAGAATGATTGCAAGCAAATTCAACAACTTACAGTTACAGGACTTGCTTCGAAGAATGCGATTTCCATGAATAGATGCAGCCAGTCATTCTCATGGAGCTCTGATTCTTTCACCTGTGATGCCAAAAAAATGCAGTGACCTACCTTGCTTACATATCAGTGCTTCTCAAGACTACAAATGAAGAATAAACTCCACTCAGGGACATGTTATATTACCACGTAATACTTTTTGTTGTCACTAGTCAAGGCCTCATCAGACAACCATTGAGGCATTTCCGCTGGGTAGTATTGATCCATTGTCTCATCCCGGTTATCATTCACAGCCTTGTTACCTTTAAAAGTAGAGTTAGTCGTCCTATCTATCTAGTGATCTCTAAAGAAAGACAAGTGATATAAGAAAATGTTATGTACGTACATGTGGGTCTGCAGGCCAAGATCTGCCAAATACAGACACCTTCCACCGAACGTCCAATCCTACTGTACAAAGTCTGAAAAGAGATGACAGAGTTGCAGGCCGGATCCATTGCCTCCAAAGTTATGTAGAAGTCACAGTAAGAAGTGCACATGGTAGTAAACTTTACCCAGTGCACAAACTTTAAGTTTGTTCCCTAATAACCAAAATATGAACAACTAGTCATATAAAAGAAAAATTAAAGACATAAAAGAGAGAAAATGATAGAGTTACCTTGTGAAAATTGTAGCAGTGGAGTCCAAGACTAGCATAAAGGATGATATGATAATCAAAGGGCATTGGAGACTCAGTTATTCTAAACCTAGGGTAAGAGGCTCCAAAATCAAAACCCTGGAAAATCAAAATCCAAATCCTTGAGAGTAGACTAGTATCCCTTAGACGACAAGAAAACCAAAGAGATAAAAAAAAAAAACATGAGGAAGAGGATTTGCATACATAGGCCTGCGAAGCCCTTATTAACTTTTTCTTTCTCTTCAATTCCTTTCTTTCCCTTGCAGCCTTTGCTCTTGCAATATCAAGCTTCCCGAATTCACTTACCACTTTCACCTCCTCCTCCTCCATATCTAGCCAAACCCTAATTCTCCCTCAGATCTCTCTCCATCTCATCTCTCTTGCACTTTGTTTTTTATACAAAGGAGGAAAAAAATAACAGTTGAAGCCCACAAACCGTAACAAATCGGGGTTTTATTGGTTTGTGAGTTATGTGGTGTTTTAATGACTTTAGATGTTAAATAGAATCTGTTAAAAAAAAAAAAAAATGTTAGATAGAATCTGTTATTATTATTCAATCAAGATTTTATTAAACTCTTTTAAACTTTAGTGTTATTAGTTATTGATTTGTAAAAAGTCATCGAAAATCTTAACAAATACAGTATGGGGTTATTGGATTCAGAGTTTTACTAAGTCATTAAAAGTTATGTGTTATTCAATTAAAACAAAAGAATCTTTGACTGTTAATGTATTTAAATTTAATGTTATTGGTTTATGATTTTAAAATCTTTTCTTTACAAAATAAAGTCTTTACAAGACTATAGAAAAACTAATCAACAAGACTACAAAAAATTCTCAAACAATCCTTTAAACTTTCAAACAATCATATAATCTATGATTTTACTAGAGTCATCTAAATTCCTTATAAGTTATAATCCAGTAACATCTCTAACAAATTCATAGATCCGATAAGTAGTGGCTAGCTTGTCTATACAATTTCTAGGATTTTTAATAATCTTGAAAATGCAATGTCCATGAAACCAACAAAAATTAATGATAGTTTTAGATTGAATCGGACTTATAGTCATTCTCATTCCAATGTTTCAAATCTTACTCCAAATTTTTTTTAATAAGTTTTGTGTAAAAAAAATAAAAATCATCCCAAAAAGAGGATATATATATTTTATTCCAAGTTTAGGATTTTGATTGAATTAATGCTCTGATACAATTCCAAAATGTATATACAGTGTACATCTATCTTTAAAGTTATCTTAAATATGAAATCTTGATTGAATACTCCCACGGCAGCCGTAATGGACAAAGTCTAAATCATACCAACAAAACAAGATGATGATGATCCTTTACGTTCTCATAAAACCGACAATTTCGTCAACGTAGCCACTATTCTCATCCATGTTCCCAAACAAACCTTTCATCACCTTAGCCTTATCCCTTATTGACTCACCTTTTTCATCATCCACCATCACCAATCTAACCGACTCAGCCACCGAGTAAGAATCAAACGAACCATCTCTCTCATCTCTCAAAACCTCAACACCAAGCCCCTTCCCATGCAACAGCCTCGTGTTGAGTCCTTGCTCGTTCAGCACCGGCAAATATATCGGTACTTTACCAAACCCTAGCCCTTCCACTACTGAGTTCCAGCCACAGTGTGTCAAGAACCCTCCCACCGACTCGTGTCTCAGTATTTTCACTTGTGGAACCCATCCAACATGAACCATGCCACGTCCCTTGACTCTTTCCTCGAACCCGTCTGGAAACTTTGGCTTGTTCCTTAGAACCCAAAAGAAAGGTGTCTCTGATTTCTCTAATCCAAGAGCTAGCTCCGTGACTTCCTCACGACGGAGACTCGCTTCCGTGCCTAGCGATACGTAGACCACTGAGTTAACCCGTTGCTTGTCGAGCCACTCCTTTATACGAACCCATGTAGTATCATCCTCATCCTCATCCTCATCCTCATCCACTATAACCGGAGGAAGAAACCCGGTTGGAAAAACCGGTTTTTGGTACAGAACTTTAAGTAAACCAAACCATTCCGGTTCGAATTTCGGACAGCTACGGACAAAAACCGCATCACTCCCTTCAATAGAGTAACCGAACCGGAACGAATCAGAGACTCCGGTTACATCTTTATCCGTCTTCTCCACGTATCTTGCGACTTCATGATAACGAAACACGATGTTGGACTTGAACGGAACCCACGGAGGCACCACCGTGAAATCGTCCGGAGTAGTTCTAACCTCATCAATCAACGACGAAGACGGTCCTTGGAAACAGAGAGTCGCAGCGTTAAAGAGACTAAAGAAGGCCTTGGAGATACCAAGCTCAGCCGCAATAGAAGGGAGCCAGTGAGAAGCATAGTCATATACGATCCAATCAGGAGAAGACACTAGGAGAAACTCTTTCAACGGTGGTTGGAGAAGATCAAAGGCGGCTTTGAGAGACTGTTGCTTGTTGTAAGGTACGTCCATGGAGGATTCTGAGGTTGGAGACAAGCCGGAGATGAGAGGGAGAGGGAAAGAGACGAAGGTGATGGAGGAGGAGAGGTTTGGTGGAAGTTTGGGAAGTCTTTGGATGTTTCTTGGTGTTGATATGAATGAGATCTTGTGACCCTTTTGAGCTAGCAACTTGGAGAGACTGAGAAAAGGAAGAAGATGACCCATAGCTAGCCATGGAAACATGGCTATGTGCATACCTTCTTCTCTCTTGTCCTCCATATTTGTTATTCTATGCAGATTCAATAAACCACTCACTTTATAGATATATTATTCATTAAGTGATTGGAGAAATGAATAATATGAAAAGTATAAAAAGTAAGATTGCTATGTATGTCATATACCATCTATAAAACGGAGAAGATACAATAGCTTTGATTGTAAGAATAGTTCAATCAACCTAATAAAAAAAGTATACATATGTAATATCAACTTCATCATGATTTGGTTCATAAATATATTGCTATTTGACGTATAAAATAATTTATATTGAGTTAAAGTATTATGATTAACGTACTAATTAACACGAATATAACTTATAATATACTTTGGATTACAATGGAACGAACTTTCAAAGTTCAACGTACGACAGCTCACGTAGACGGTGTACATCATTAGACTTATTGAAATTTAATTAAGAATTTTGTAATTATTACCATGTTTTTACATAAATATTTACTAATCAACCCGAAAGAGCAATTGGAATCATAGAGCAGACGATAAATTCCAAAAAGATAAAGAAAATATGAATAATTCGTGGCCATCGACAAGTAAATTTTCATGAATAGGTTTGTGACCAACTGTAGCCTTTTTGCCACTGTTTTATAAATTATAAGTGGCGGTCTTATTGTATCAATGTACAATGCTAGATTTGACATAATGATGCCTAATAAGTGAGTTTTAGTAATGGTGAATCGGTGACGTGCGTGTTAGTTTGATCCGAAAGTGAGTTTTTCGATAGCGGCTCAAAACCAATGTAATCCTGATTATTATCAATAATAACGATTATGATTTGGCTAAATTTTCTAACACTTAAAATTAAGCGAAACAAATCTTTCATAATACTATTTGAGGTCGAAAACGTTTATTCAAACTTTTGATCACACATTTCAAAGCAACTATGCGCAAGTTGAAGTATTGAGACAAAATATTGCTCAAGTGGTGACCAACTGTGTTTAATTACTGCGATTGCACCAATCCGTTTTCTTTAAAACATTTTAAAATGAGAGAACCCATCCATCATTCAACATTGGAAAATTCAGCATTCTTCAAAATCTCAAAGGTGCAATGACTAACATTGGAAAATTTACTAGCGTTGGAGATGGGTTTGGACAAAAGAATTTTCAAAGTTAAAAAAAGTGAATAAATAAACAACGTCAACGACAGTTGTGGTAGATGAACTCTAATAGACTTTTTTTTGTAGTAAAAAGAATAGTGTAACATGTAAAATGATAATAATGAATGATGAAGGAGAAGAAGAAGAAGAAAGAAGAAGAAAGAGTAGAAATGACTCAATGAGGCTATAGGGAAGAAGAGATGTGATGGAGACCGAATCGGTTCGAAGGACACTCCAGATTTGGGAAATGGGGGATGTTCCTCTCCTATCCTTCTCGTCCCCACTTGTCTCCCATCTTTTTCTCTATTCCCATTTTTTTTATAAAACCAAATCATTTATCTTAGAATAAACTAGAGACATATATATCCAAATGACTATAGAATAAAGTCTTTTTTTTTTTGTTGACTTACAATTATTTTTAGTTTATTTTCTTCTTTTTTTTTTATTGTTGATAAAGAAAAGTTTCCTAATTGGTTTTAATATTATCCTATAATACTACAAGATCAAATCATATATATATGGTAACATATTTTGGACTTTTTTTTGGTTGACATCACATAATTTGGACATTGTAGAAATAATCAACATTTAGTTTAGTTTTAAGTAAAAGTAGTTGACTATCAATTTTTACTATTATTTAGATATAAAATTTCGAAAAACGAGTCTAAAATAAAAAAGTAATAATACTAAATTTAAATTTCAAAGATCAAAAATACCGAATAGATAATCAACATTTAGATAGAATGAAAAAATATTTGATTAACAGTCTCTAATATTATTTGCATACATTTTTCAAAAAAATGAAAATTTTAAAACCCAAATAAAATATTAAGATCGAAAATACTGAATTAGGAAATAATTTTAGTTATCTGTTAATATTTAATTAAAATAATTTTATTGGACTAAAAAAATAGTTGTTTATCAACCTCCAGATTTTTATATATTTATTTATAAAAAAAAAGAAAAAAAAAAAAGTGTGTGTGAACCCACACGAGAACACAAAATAGACAGAATCAGAAAATAAATAAATAAATAAATATAAATCTTCACTTGCAATTCCCAACTAGCGGCGCCGCTTCTCTCTTTTCTTTTCTTGCTTTCAAAGTTCATCATCCTTCCTCCTCCTTCTTCCCTATCCTCTCATTTCTTTCTCCTTTACTCTTTTATTTTTATTTATATACTATATATAAATTGACATATTCTATCATAATTATCATATAAAAAGCAACAAAAAGAAGAAAAAAAACAATACTTTTTCCATTATTTTATATAAAATTACACCATACCCATTTCGGATCTCTCCATTTCCCTTTATACAACCCAAAAAAAAAACCCATACTCCAAACGAAACCTCCTCATCTTCTTCTTCTTCTTCTTCTTCTTTCATCCTTCCTCCTCCGATCCAAATCTTTTTTAAATATATCATTTACACAAAAATCCAAACCCAAAATCTCTAATAAACAAATCTTCTCTTAATAAAAAAATGAAAGGTGAATACAGAGAACAAAAGAGTAACGAAATGTTCTCAAAGCTTCCTCAACATCAACAACATCAACAACAACACTCTCTTAATACCTCTCATCATTTCCACCTCTCCTCCACCACACCCACCGTCGTCGATGACTCCTCCATCGAAGTCGTCCGTCGTCCACGTGGCAGACCACCTGGTTCCAAAAACAAACCTAAACCACCCGTCTTCGTCACCCGTGACAGTACTGACCCTCCCATGAGCCCTTACATCCTCGAAGTCCCTTCTGGTAACGACGTCGTCGAAGCCATCAACCGTTTCTGCCGCCGCAAATCCATCGGTGTTTGCGTTCTCAGCGGCTCTGGCTCCGTAGCTAACGTCACTTTACGTCAGCCTTCCCCTGCGGCTCCTGGCTCTACCATAACGTTCCACGGCAAGTTCGATCTCCTCTCCGTCTCCGCAACGTTCCTCCCTCCTCCTCCTCGTACTTCCTTGTCTCCTCCCGTTTCTAACTTCTTCACCGTCTCTCTCGCCGGACCACAAGGGCAGATCATAGGAGGGTTCGTCGCTGGTCCGCTTCTCTCCGCGGGAACGGTCTACGTCATCGCGGCGAGCTTCAACAACCCTTCTTACCATCGGTTACCGGCGGAGGAAGAGCAGAAACACTCGGCGGGGACAGGGGAGAGAGAGGGACAGTCCCCGCCGGTGTCTGGTGGCGGTGAAGAGTCAGGACAGATGGCGGGAAGTGGAGGAGAGTCGTGTGGGGTTTCAATGTACAGTTGCCACATGGGTGGCTCTGATGTTATTTGGGCCCCTACCGCCAGGGCACCACCGCCCTACTAAACCAATCCTCTTCTTACACAACACAAAAACACTCTCTTCTTCTTTTGTTTCTTTTTTTTGGTAATTAGGATGAATCAAGAAACTAGGGTTTGAAAAACAAGAATCGTTTGTTTTTTCTATGTATCATCGTCAGAATTAACTTATCACATGCTTAATCTTTTTTTTCCCACGGTGTAATCTCTCTCAAATCTTGGTTTTATGGTTTTTGTTTAGCTTCGTTCTATGCGGTTACAAAAGTTCGATATTAAATTTGATTTGACTCGTATAACAGTATGCTTCCAAGTGTCTTTTTAGGGATATTTAAATGTTTGTTACTATTAATGATTGTGTCTCATTCTTATATATACTTGTTTTGTTTTTTAGGACATGTATTGGATTGATATACTTGTTTATTGGATCTTCAAAGTATGTTAATGGTTTTAATACATTAAACATTACTAGTAGCAATTTAGCTAATTTTAAGAAAACGTGCTACTTTTTTGTCATTCACACCATCGAACCTTACAATTTTTGGCTGCTTTACCTCCACACCGTCGACCTTACAGTTTTGGCGGCATTGACCACTTTTAGTTTCATATTCGGTTAAATACAAAAAAACAAGTAAAAAATGTACAAAATGGTTTGTCATATTATAGGTTGGTTTCAGTTTTGCTACTCTCTCCAATTAATCAAGTATTTATTATAGATATAACCAAAAGAGATAATAAAGTTAAACTAAGAAAGCATTAATTATGCATATACGTGAAGTCGTGAAGCATTGATTGGAACACTGTTTTGGGCTTGTCTCAAAGTGTTTTGATGGTTGGACTCATATATGTCTCTGGTCTCTCTCTCATATATCCAGAAGTTTGAAGACCATACAACTGCAAAATGTCTGCAAAAACACACATATCTATATATATGAACACATTCAATTACCCACTTGTCTTTTCAGTGCCCCTTTCTCTTTTTATCTCTGTTTTATTTGCTTTTTTTTACATGGGGGTTTGGGATTCAAACTTTGCTAGAAATGGAGTAGAAACGTGAACACAATTGTGACAACCTTTTCTTTTTAACACGAGCCATCTAATCTAATTAATATGTACTACTGTATATTTTAGTTTGACTCTATCAGTTAAATATCAACTAAATATGTTTAGTTAGATTAGTTTGGATATCCCAAATTCCCAACTGGCGGAACATAGTACATTGTACATAAAGGGAAACTTATGAGAACGAAGTCTAGTGTCATCGGATAAACATTTGACATTAGAGATCAAACTAAGTGTAATTTATAAAACGCAAAAACAAAACATATAAAAAAGGATTATTGATCCTCAGTCCTCACTAACTCTTTTAGATAAGTGGAGAATGCAAAGGTCGTCACAACTCACAAGAGATCCGAGAGAACGTCATATTTACTAAGTTATGGTACTGAGAATTATGTTTTGCCTTGCTCTTGTCACGTTTTTGATTGGGGCAGATTCTTATAGGAATAAATAATCATAGATTGGTCCTTAGAAGAAACATCGTAAATATTCTTCACAATCCGTAAAAGCCCTTCTAGAATAGATAGATGTCTCTACAAACCCAACCTACGGAAAATAAGATAAAAGTAAAACGGGTAAGACGAGAAACAAAAGGTTCGGTTGGTTTTTTTTCTTTTTCCACAAACCAAAAGTTTGGGTGGTTGCAATAGATAAGAGATACAAATCCAATCGCCGGATTATACCGTTTTATATTTACCATTCATACGTTATGTGTGTGTTAATGAGAATCCAACAAAAAAATAAAAGAAAATCGTTTATCACAATCATTTTTTCATACAAATAGAGTTAGTCTGCACCGATTTATTGTTAGTTTTAAAAATAGAATAGACTAAACCGTCGATAAATTTGTATATTTCAACCGCATTAACAATTTACATCCAAAATATTGTTTCTTCCTTGTAAGGGGGAGTTATTGGGAGACTGATTTTAAAAGAGTTTGTGGATTTCAAAAGTTTAGAGATTTTAAGATTCTCAAAAAGAATTTGTTGATTCTAAAATAATGTTTACCCAGATTTTTAGAGTTTAATAGATTCTTCATATGATAGACTCTACAAATCCTTATGATAATTGCAGTATTTTGAAAGTTGTTTTTAATGACTAAATATGTAAGGAATCATAAAACCAATAACACTAGAATTTGATAGAATTGGAAAATCAATAAATACTCAACTTTTTGAATAACAAAGGATTTTAAATAGAATTACAAAATACGTACACCAATAACAAGAGATTTTATTAAGAATCTAAGAATCCGTACACCAATAACAATAGAATTTTAAACTCTAAAAATCTTTAAAAGTCATTCTCCCAATAACTTCTTGAGTATAATTTTGTGAGTTTCAAGCAATTCGTTGAAGAAACTAGCAAATGTCTAAATACTTTGTTTAATCCTAAAAGCAAGTAGTTCATCACTTCACGCCACAGCTCACAACATAAACAAAAACGAAATTACATTTTATTTTTAAATTGAATAAACATCGAAAAGAAAAGAAAAAGGAAGAGAATTTTACGCGAGAACAAACAAGGATCAGTCGTCGTCGTCGTCTTTCTCCTCATCTTCGATTGCGATTGCAGCAGATTTTCGTGATTTGGCTGTTTCTATGTTGCAAGAGCTTCGATTCTAACCTCTCTGAGGTGGGTGTGGTGGAGACAAACCCTAAGGAGAAGGCGCAGCCATGGACATCGATTGCGAGAGCAAAGGGAAACGAATCGACAAGGATAATATTCGTGTCAAGCGGAAAACTTTGCAAGCTTTGCTCGATGATGTCCAGAGAGCCCTCGAGCTTTTAAACTTAGCTGAACTCAGTTCTGAAGATGACGAAGATGATAAAAGCATCGGCGACGGCGAGAGAAATGGGTCACAAGAGAAGGAATCGTGCAGGGGAGAAGAAGTTTCTTCTTCCGATCGAGATGATCCTGAAGCTGATCAAGTATGTATCTTTCTCTTTAGAGGAATTGTGTGAAAAAAATGGTTCCTTTTTATTTAGTTAATTGCTGAGATGACGAGTTAAGATGCCAATGTGGTTTGTATGGCTTCAATTTACACATCTCATCACATTTCTTCTTCGAAATATGTATTCAAGCTCTGCTTCTTGGAACTTTTAGTTGAATGTCCTTAAATTGGTGGATAAAGGACATATTTTGTTGACAAAAATTGCATACATAAGGATGTTGGTGAAGATTTATGTGTTTGTAATGGTGTTCAATGATGTCATGACCTTCTTCTTCTTTGTTCCAGTTATATGATCTCATGAAATCCAGAGTTGAATGCCATGACTTCATTGGAAAGATTGAGTCAGCTCAGGTATCAGCGCCGCAACATCTTGCTGGTGAGAACTGGAATACTCATCTTTGTTTTTAAGTACTGCTATGCTTATGTATTTGAAGCTTAGGATTTTGCTCATTGGTTGTATAGATAATTGTGATTTTCTGGTGTTTTAGAAGATAGTAGCTCATGGGATGTAGTTAGTGAAGATGATCTTTGGGATGATGAAAGCATGGCTCAAAGTGAAGAAGATTATGTCCTTGTTAGGGAAGAGGATATAGCAGAGGGCATTGCATGTTTCATGGCTACTTATTTATCATCACTTAAGCAGAAAAAGGTACCCAGCTTGCATTTTGTTTGCCTGTTTTATATCAGCCTTTCATGTGAGTTTATTCGAGTTGGCGTCATTATGCAGGATTTGACTCCTGAGCAGCTTCAGAAAGGTATCCTAGGCTTTCCATTTTTAATTAACCTTCAAAATGCTGTGTATCTCAATGATAAGTAGACATAACATAACAGCCATGTCACTGTCGCAAACACTCAGTTAGGAAGACAGTTCGATCTTTAGAGGAAAAACAGAAGTATATATACGGAATTGGACATAACAGTAAAGGGCACTGCTTGTTTTGGGGGTCTTGGAAACGGCATATGAGAGTAGGGAATGCATTAGAATCCATCCTTAAATTATTCTTTGGTTATGTATCTGTTCTAAACTTAAGTAAGAAGTAGAGTTCACCGGTTCCAATTTTAACGCTCAACTAGGAAAGTTGTTATTGCGTTTACACAAACAAAGACCATTAATTTGCCAAGTTCTCTTCTTTGAGATTTGATTACGTGTGAAATTGATCAGTGGTGGCATATTAGAGTATTGAAATCATAACCTAAGTGTTTGATTTGTAATGTAGCACTTAGCAAGATGTTCTCAGTGAAGAAGAGAAAGGGGAAACTTCGAAAAGCCTGGGATGGAAGTAAGGTCGCGTACAATGTAGCATCGTGGAGCGCAACTGTTATAGGGTATAGAATCATATGAATATGCTCTTCTCATTGCTTGCTTTCTACATTGCGAAATCGATGTTAAGCTTGCTTCTCCGAGTCCCATTGCTTATTGTTTCTCATCAACTTATGCATATTTGTTCACTTCATTGACAGGATCTATCAAAACCCGGTGATCCTCAGGGTTGCATCAAAGGCCTTCTGGGCGTCATGTCATGTAATATCGAAGCTCGTCTGATATGACAAAAGCCTTTTGAACACATCTCGCCTGTGTGATGTGATAAGTTACAGTTGAAGTTTGGGCTCATCCATGATCTCTGTAAATAGAATTCCATCTGTCTGTCTATTGAATGCCATTTGTGATTCCTTTCTTTAGTTGTACTGTTCTCTGTATCACCTCTTCCATACATAACGAATAAATGCATGCTAGAATCATGATAAAGTATAAAACCAAGTAACCAATCATCAAATTAGGTATCATACACAATTCAACCCTATTTTTCTTAACTGTTTCACGATTATAAAACAGTAACTTGTTCATTAGGCTGCACATATGTTTTTCGAGTTCAACAATGATGACAATTTTCTTTTAGTCTCTGGACGTTCAAACTTTCCGATCCAAGTAAACTGACAAACACAAGCACCAATATTAGATATCCAACGATATAAACTTGTTTGTATTTTACACTCGCACCACAAAACATAGTTAAAAGTTTAAGACAGTTCATTAAATTGTTTTTTCAAAGAATACAAGTTTGGTATCAAACATATACAGAGTAAAAAGCATAGATATATATGATATCTCACAAGAACAAAAGAGCAACCCAAAAAGAGAAAGAAAAGAAAGACAATGCTCGTGGTAAGCTGACCCACCCAGGGTTTGTATCTAGTAAAGCCAAATGAAATCCTTAGTAGTTGGTTATGGCTGACTTGTGTTTAGCTTCTAATCTTCTGGTCTCACACCCAAATCCTTACCTCCTTCATTTGTTTTTTTGGCAGTAGCGACAGAATTACACAAGTCTATCTTTATCAAGGTTTCCATGGTGCTGGTGGAGGCGGTGGAGTAGGAAACAACGGAGGAACAGCTGAGAAAATTGTGTTTTTGTCTATCTTACCCGTGGCTTCTTCTTCACCCGACAATGCTATGAGAGCTGCGACCAGACCAGCATTGCCTGCAAGGGTCGGTTCAGTGTAGTTGTAGTTCATACGAACATCGCGGAACCCATCGTGCTTGTCAGGACCAGCAACCATGGCTCCTTCAATCGTGTTTGGATTTGGTTTCTTACTGTCTCTCCATTTCCATCCTCCTTTGCAGTTATATTTGACTTTGTTCTTTGGAATAGATGCTCCTCTGTGATGCACATGTTTTGGGTATTTTGTCCCATAACCAACAAGATAACTCATTTTCCGAGGGTTTTTACCGAGTATGTAATCAATCTGTCAAAACAAATCGTGACCGAGTTAAGTCAAAACTGAAATCAAGCAATATTTTGTATATTATTCATTACCATTTGTGTAAAGAGTCAAGGAAAAGATGCATTACCTGGGATCTCGCAAAGTCACGTAGCACATTAGTCGAATAGAAATTAGGTCCACAGTACCATCCAGGAGTATCAGCAGCATCAAGATAATCACTGTAAAGTGTCGCTAAGAATGCTGCGTTTGCAGAATACTGCAGTGGCTGAGGGTCGCCATGATTCAACTCTAGTAATCCACCTGCACATACCAAAATTTACATGTTATATTTCCATAACAATAACAGGCCCAACGGTTGGAGTTTTACTTGAGGCAAACTGGAAGGTAACTTACCCTTGGTTCTGTTAAATTTGGTGAAATAAGGCAAGTATGAGCACATGACTATACTGGTCTGATTGTGGAAGGTCCTTAGAATTTCTTCATATGGATATCCAGGACTCAGAAACAACCTCAATCGGCTCAGCAGTAACTAAATCAAAAGAGATTAAAAAAGTCAGGGTTAGTATGGTTAAGGCAAATGATCAAGAAGACATGAATATCAAGTATAAACACAGCAAGTTGGTCAGTGGACTGACCTGAGCACCAGCAAGTTTGTTGTCCCAGCTAAATACACCATAGTAAGGGCCACCCCAGAAGGCACCAGCATGCTTGGCCATTGTAGGTTGGGTGATTAGATTGAGATAGGTGACGTTTCCTGTAGCATAGTACAGCCAAGCACCACCCCAGATGAACTCATCCCAATACATGCTTGAATTATAGAACTTGCTAGATTCCGCAGTGCCTGCACTATATCTGCCTCTCCGAGTCCTTCCAAACTGATACACCGTCTTAGCACCATGGACAAGCTTTTTAGAATATTCCTTGTTGTCTTTGAATACAATGGACGCTGAAGCCAGAGCAGCTGCCATCTCTGCAGCAAGATCCGAGCACCCACCATTACATGTAGTCACAGGCCTTTTATAATCCATGTCCTCAGGACGCATCCAACAGTAATGGTCATTAGGATCTGTGTTTCCATCATCAGTATTCCCTGATCCGACCTGCCACAAACATGTAACGAGTGAACAAACAACTCAAATGAAAGAAAGCTACGATCTCCTACAAAAGGTCAGAAACTAGTACCTGTGACACAAGATCATCAATGGAATCAGCAGTACTATTGAAAGTCTTGAGGAAGTAATCAGTTCCCCATTTGATAAGTTCCTTAACATGGGTGAGCTCACCAGCAGCTTCGTATTTGGCACTATATTCGATAACACTCCAGCTCAACATGGTGATAGCATAAGCCATGGGAAAGTTGAACTTGATAGCATCACCAGCATCATAATAACCTCCCACCAAATCTTTGTAGAAGCTTCCTGTCTCACCTCTCCCATCTTGAAGCCCAGAATTACCCCTCCATGACACGTTATTATGCTTCGGCAATCTCCCAGCTACAGAATCAAAACCATCAAAATCAATCTTAGATCTACAAAATCTATCTCTAAATTACCCAGATCTTCAAGGCTAAATTTCCAAATCAAGTAGAGATTCCACACTTACATTTCTGAGCATTGAAGAACTTAAGAGCTTTGTGTAGAGCTAACGTGTAATTATCCGGCGGCGGATCCTTCTTATGATGTCGCGGCACAGTTTTAACGATCAAGATAATAAACCCGGCGAGCAACGCGGCGGCAACAATAGTACCGACAGTCCATACAAAGATCTTGCGACTAACGATAATACAACCAAGATCAACATACTTCTTCTTCTTCTGCTCCGTCGGACCAAGCAACCAACTCTGCTGCGTCTCATCAAGTGGCCGTGAAAGAGCCGCACGATCCAAATCGTTCAAATTCCGACTACGATCATCGTCGGTGGCGGAATCTGCAGTGTTGATCTCCAATGGACCTCCCCATGGATCTCGTCCGTACATGTTGCTCGCTCAGATGAAGCAACAGTAAAGGATTCAGATCTGAGAGAAAAAAAAAGAGAGAGCACAAGTGTGTGGAAGTGAAGAAATGTGAGCTAAGAGAGAAGAGGGCGCTCTAGTCAATAATGAACAAAAGAAGACTCTGGTGAGATCTGGTTTTGGTAATGCTCTTTATTTTTATTTTTCTTAAGTATCACTTCAATTATTTTTTGTTATTATATGATTGTTTGGTTAATTTAGTGCATGTTACGTTACAGCTAACACTAATTTTGGAATTTTTTCTGGCTTTGGCCAACTATGATTGAGCTTTCTGGCCAACTTGGTAAAAAATTCTTATGTAATTTTTATTTTTCTTTCTACAAATAAAGAACATTGTTTAGACATTTAAAATATTACTTTATTTTGTCGGAGAGATTATAATATTATTTTGTTATCCACCGATTTTTTAAAATATATTATAAGTTTGTCCGTTATAAAAATGTGAAATACTTTGTTTAGTAGTAAAGCAAATGGGCTAATGTCGGGTGGGATGATAAAGACAAGTCTCCTAATACACTGTCGGTGGGATGTTAAATTTTATTTTATTCTCATGGTTATGGTGTCTTCCACGTCATCATTTTCGTGGCCTCTTGAGTCATGACATTTTTTTAATATCTATATATACATTTTTTTAAGTACATTTGGTACTAAAATCTATTTAGGTTTATAATTTTTTATTTTATAATATTTGTATAATCAAACCCTTGCCAATTGAATAAATAACAAAACTTAAAAGTAAATTTTGTAATTAAATTACAAGCAAATTATAATATTGGAAACAAATATTTATTACAACAAAAATATTTCCTAAAATGTCTCTCTCTAATAAATCGAATATCTCTCCAATATATTTATGTAATCTTATTTGTTTTTAATTTATATTATTACATAAAATATATTTATAATAAAAATACAAATACAAATTTTTTCCCCACATTTTGCAATTTAAAATTTTGAAAACGGGCCTTTATAACTCAAACGATAAAGAAAAAAATATATGTACAACGTCTATAAGGTAAAAAAATTAGATAGCTCAAACCCATTATAAATAGTACTAATATTTTCACAACTTCAAATGAACATGAACTTTGATTTCTCATGTATCCAAATTAAAATTTTAAAGTTTTATAGAATATTTAAAATATAAAAAATATTTAAACTCGACAAAAATTTAAAATATTATTAATATTTTAACTCAAAATATTTCAAATATAATAATATTGTAAATAAATATGAATGAACGGTTTTGAGTTTATATAAATATGATTATATGTTTTCTACGGGTTGTGTATATTAAAAAAGTTTTACGGGTTAAGTTAAAATATAAATTTTTATTTACAACAAATCATCCTGCGGTGTACTGCAATTTTTTTTTTTGTGAAGTGTATCGCGTACTGACCACATATATCTATTAGTCTACTTATTATACAAATTCATAAAATTATATAAAACTAAAATAATATAAAAACGTATAAAACTATAGTATATAAACCAACTACAAAAATAATAAATCAAGCAAATATATTAAATTATGGGCCCGTGGTGTACCACGGGATAAATACTAGTATAATAGTATAAAATTTCTTACTAAGTAAGAATATTTTTTGCGTAAAATTCACTTATACTGGAAAATGATAGTCTACCACAAAATTTATTTCGATTATCATTTTCTAAAGGAGAATAATGAGAATCTAAAACTTTTCTTTTTTTATAAAATTTATCGTCACCATCATAGAGTTTTTCGAATTTTTTTTTGGCCAAAAATATAAAATAGGTTTTTGAAAGATCAAGTATAATAATGTATGGTATTTTTTCACAAAAGTTACAGAAACTCGATTTAATCTTAAAATATGGGTTGGATTTTCAGTGTACATATTACAGTATTTTGATTGGTTTAGATATATCGGTGTTGACGAAATAATGATGATACTATTACAATTCATTAGGTACATTTGTCGGTTATCTTTTATTAATTTTTTTTTTCTTAATTTAAATGAGTATATCTCTATTTAAAAAAGAAAAATCCAAAATATATATTTTTATATATATAGATATATATTGACAGCTATATGTAATTCTAAGTATATATATATTGACAGCTATATGTAATTCTAAGCCTTATCAGCTTGTATGTAATTAATATTTTAAATGTCCCAATAGAAGACATTTGATTGAAAGATAAACAAAAGCATACACATATCAACTATGGCTGTTTCCTTAATACACATATAGACTGCGATTACCTAACTATATGCGTATATACTTTTCCTTCACATTACCATAATGTTCTTGGCCTTTGTAAAGCTGAACTAGAGATCGAAACTGTGGCTGTTGAAGTGGAAAAGAGGATGATTCGCCGATCTCCATATGCTATGTGACCTTATCTCTTTGGCTACGGTCGTCTGAAGAGTCGCTGGACCGCATACTATCACTCCAACATCCACACTTCCCCATTTCCCATTCAACGACTCAAATATCTCTGCATTCACAAATATTTCATAACCATTAGTTTTTTTTTTTAACAAATAGATATGGTTCCTTTAGTGTGTGTACTGTACCTCTAAAGTCTGGTCTGGTGCCATATCGAATATTGGTGTAACTCTGAACATCTTCTTCAATGTCCAACCCTTTTAGCTCAGCTGCAGATGGATTATGGGGTTCTTCTATGTTCAAGTTTACTTTGTTGTTGCCATTTGGTTCCGATTCACCGGTTTTGTATTTGTGACCCCAGCGGTGCCAGAAAACAACCACAAGACCTCCAAATATCAACACACTTGCAACCATACAAACAACAAACAGAAGTCCCTTGTACCACCATGTTGTTATGTTGTATTTGTTTATGTAAAAGATGTCCAACAACGTGATCATTCCAATAAACCCAATGGTGGAGACAACTAGGTACAGTCCAGACCATATGTTATCCCCTGTACCAACTAGAACTGACATGGAACAGCCGTTGGTCCGTTTTGGCTTGATAGAAGGATGCACCACCTTGTGAACCATCCCATCTTCCTGTATGACCATGAAACAAAGCAGAGTTCAACAAACTAGTTAAGGTCTATTGCAGCTTATATATGAAACTAGACTTACCAAGCGAGGCTCGGATTGTCGTGTGACATAGATGTGAATTTCAAGGTTTAGTTTCTTAGAGAAGAAAGGGCAAATGGAAGGTATGTCAATTGCTGAGAGAAGAGAGAGCTCGTCTGAGTTTTTAATGGCCCAGACAACTAGAACTTTACTCGGTAAACAAGCTTTCCCATCTCTTTTACGGTGTAGGATATCACTTAAGATGGCGAAAAAAGGCGTAATCCCGATTCCTCCTGCTACTAAGACCAGGTTCTCGTACCTGCAGGCAACAAAAACAAAACCTTTCTTGAGTCAAGCTAAAGCTTATTGCATTGAAACAGTTCAAGTAAAGGATAAAACGCATTACCCTAGGTGGTATGGAGATTCATGGCCATAAGGTCCCTCTACACAGGTTGTGATTTTGGGATATGACTGAGGAGAAATGAGCTGATCTTGATTCTCTGCCTCATATAGATTTGATAACTGGTCTCTAAGCTTTGCAGTCCATCCACCAAGAACCTTTATGAGAACCGCAACATGATGGTTCCCATCTAAAGGACTTGAAGAAACACTGAAAGGATGCCACTGTAGCCATGATAGTTCCCTCACTTGAAGAAAGATAAAGCTAAGCGCATTGTATCTCATATCTGGTTATAACAAGAATAAAAAGGAACAAAGTCAGTAACACGCTTTTAGATTAGAAAGGTACAGGGAAGTGAATAAACAGAGTTATTTTACTTGGTGGTTTTGAAAGGACTAGTTCGAGAGTTCCACAGGGTAGACTCTTTGCAGAGATTACATCTACAGTCCTTCTGGATTGGCAGAACCTCAAGAAACGGTCAAGCATGAAAATAAATATTCCTCCAGCAACTATACTGAACAAGAAGTCACCAACGTGAAGTGCCAAGAAGACTACAAAGACAATGTATATTTGATGGGTGTAGAAGAAGAGCTCAAAGTAATGCTTTCTCACGGTGTGAAGCGACGTAACCCACATCAGTAAACCAGCCACTAGACTGATAACTCCAGGTAAATTAGCAATTCCTTTAGCTTTCCATTCAAATATCTAAGAGGAGTAAGAAGTTGATGATTAAAACTTCAATAATAGAGATAAGATAGTGTGTTTTAGATAAACTAGGCTTTACTAACATGTCAAGAATAAATAATGTTGCAGGAATCTTACCTGTTCTAAAAGTTGACCTTGAATGGCCCATCCAACAACATAACAGAGGCCATGCAAGGAGAAGAAAGCCATAGTGATATGACCAAGCCAAACATGATATCTTGTAGCATGCTCGAAAGGGATATCGATAAGACGGAGAAGAATGGAGCCTCTCGAGACCGGAAGAAACAAAAACACCATACACAACAATCCAATCATCCCAAAACGCAGACCAGTTACCTCCAGCAGAAGAATACTAAACAAACACATACAACACAAACAAATGATTGGAATGAGACAAAAAGAAAAGAACAACAAAGCTGAAACAAGAAAAAGGAAATGAGTTAAAAGAAAGAACCTTTTTTCTTCGGGAAGCACATGGAAATATTGAAGAAGGTTGAGATTCCTCAAGGTATAAGCATAGATAGCCCAAAGGAAAAAAACAGAGAAGACCAAAATCCCAAGTAACTCAGCTGCGGAAACAACTCCAAATGGCCCATCCACAAGAACAGGAAATGTCCATAGCCTAAACCTCGGAAATTTCGATATCTTCTCCCTTCACAATCACCAAAACACACACTTATGGAAGAACAAAAATGCCAAAAGAATGCAATAGATGTTGCAGAGATCATTATAATATTATTATTATCATCAACAATATAGTTCATACAGTTACTTAAGGTTTATATTATAATATATGCTTTGCCACTGTATGTCACAATCAGCTCATTAAGGAAATAGTTAAAAGAATCTAAACCATACTTACTTAGTGAAGACCTTCTCTTCCCCAGAGATGATCAGATAGAGAGAAGCTAAGACGGAGATAACAAGAATCGGACCACTGAAAATTAGGAACATGCTTCCTGCAAATTCAGACAATTAAACAGGATGAAATTAGACTTACACATGCATTTATACTTACAAAAGCAAAAGTGATATGGTACATAATATAATCAAACCTGTGGTGCCAAAGAGTGTATGGGAGGAGACAGCTCTCCATTTTGTGAGGACTTGATCACCGAGTGTTCCAGGGTACATCAAAAGGAACACAACCCAAGTCACAAAAATCACAGACATTACAACTTTCAATACCCATTTCAAAGATGAAGCCACCACAGATGATGATGATGATGATGCTGATGATGGTGGTGGTGGTGGTGATGATGGCTCTTTAGACAAAAGAGGGGTTTCATATTCATCCATCTTTCTTTGAATTTTCTATGTCTTAGGTGTTGTGAATTTGTGATGAGAGTTGGCTCCAGAAGAAGCATCAGCTTTTAAGGAGAGAAAATACAAATATGTTGAAAATAAAATAGAAAAAATCAAGAAGATATGATTAAGAGAGGCAAAGGGAAGAAAAGATTTCTGGACCAGTGAGGTTTACATCATTCTCATTTTATGAAAGATTCCCTCGGACAAGATTAATCCTAGGACACAATAAAAAAAAAAATTGGATTAAAAAGGAAAGGGCATTAACATGTGAGAGTAACGTACTTGGTAGAGAGTGTCACGTTTAATCTCGACCACAATTTAGGGGATGGTAACAAGTAGTGACTCCTGGATTTATAGATAAGATGGTTATAATGGCGATTGCAATGGTTTGTTTCTTTGCCTAGTTAGCTACAATTACTCAAATTCGAAATTGAGAATAAAGAGAATAATCAACAAAATATAGTTTCCACATTTGCGATACAGTGAAATAAGCTTGCAATGTTTCACAATTGAGTTTGTTTCTGGTTAAAAGGTTCAAAGGACTAGAAATTAAGTTTTTCCAAGCCTAATAAACTAGTAATAACCAATTCAAGTGAAAAAAACTATCAAACCGAATAAGACAACATGATGATGATCCATGTACTAGAGAACATTTAATAAATCAAAAGAAGACTTGTTCTAAAGAGCTTTTTGTGGTCTCTAAAAGGGATGACCATGACGAAACTCCCATGACTGGCCTACATAAGTACATATACAGTATGAGTTGTGAAAGAGAGAATGAGATAGATACCTAAATTAGTTTAGGTTGTAATTTGTGTACTCCTGAAAGCTATATCAAATAATCGGAAATAAAGATTCTTAAAAGGACTAAAAAATCGTCAATTTACCTTACATTAGCCCAATAGGCCCATATAACTGGGAGAGACGATCAACGTTTGGTATTATTAATGATAGTGGGGGCAAAGGAAAGTAGCCCATAAAGAAACCCAAAAGAACGGAACAAATTAAAGTAAAGAAGCCCAATAGGCCCATATAACCGGATGAGAGAGAGAGACACCGACACAGTGGAGGAGAAACCAATTCATGCGGCGAGGGAGAATCCGGAGAAGATCGGAAGCGATGTCGGGTTACTGTCATCTCAGTATTAGATATATTATTCCGGTTAATCGGAAAACAAAGAAGTCCACGTCTGGATTTGAAATCCGCGTTAACCAAACCAACTCTGAATTTCTAGATAACCGGAAATAATATATCTAATACTCTCAAATCATCAACCTCGATCGCATAGTCTCTCGCGTCTTGAGGTCAACGCAGAGTTCAGAGTTAAACAAATGTCTCTGCAGCATTATTTCAAAACTTCAGTGAGTTCTCTTCAGACTTTAGTATGTGATGAGCTTTGATTTATACAATTTTTAGTTATCAAAATCCATTCTTTAATACATTCTCCAAGAGTTTTCTACAGTTCTTTGATTCTTGAACTTGTTTGAGATAAAATTCACAGAAATTCCCCAAAATATATGTTATTTTAGGACTGTAGAGTGGTGAATTTAGAGATGAGAGTCTAATGGATGTATATGTATCCACCAAAAAACACGTCATTACACAAGTGTTGTGTGGACACCAACATTTTCATTCTCTCTATCAAAGTTTTATCGACCATTATGTTGGCATACATCAAATAGCTTGATCCTACTATCATTATATCCTCTTGTCCTGCTGCTACTTTGTACTCTCTTCTTAGTTTTTACCTTGCTTCATAGGTTGAGTTCTTTCTTGGAAAAGCTAGATCCAATTGTGTACACATCTTACTCTCTTAGCCGTGGGGGCCATCTCATTTATACATTTGTGTTTTACATACCCACTAACATTATTCTATGATTGGTTTTAAGACTACTCTGGTCAATCTTTCATCAAATCATCGTCATCGTTGTTGCGATTAGGATTAGTATATCAAGTTGGTACGACCATGACTTTATCAAATCTAATGTTGCTTGTTTATATATAGTTGATGACCACAACTCTCTCTGTATTTGTCTAAGAAAACTTTTGGGGTTAACAAAATCATATCTTATTTCTTATGTTTGTAGTTTTTTTTTTGAAATTATATTGAAAACAATAATGAGTGTATTTAATACAGTAAATTAAATAGAGGTCCTACACTAGTTTTCGCATCAAGACAACTCATATGAGTGTGTTTTTAAATGTATTGTTTTCATAATCTGTTCCTTCCCATTACCACCAACACTATTGATATATCCATGTACCAAACCTTGTGAATTGAAAATCTTACTTTAAATCTCCCATTATCAGCTGTTTCCAAGTTGACCAAGTTCCTTTTTTTTTTGTTTATGGTCCTCTCTCCCCATTTTCTTGTTTTTATATACTTTTTGTTTTTGTTTTCACTCGATTTGTTCAAAGTCTTCTTCTCCTTTTTGTTAACATTATTGTCTACATGTTTCTGAAAGCGAGGTTGTAATTTTTATTAAGAGATTCGTCAAACCCTTTGTGTAGACCACATGCTCTTCTTTTTCATAAGATTTTGAGATACAATCAGAAAAACAGAGGAACAGATAAGAGGTTCTTTGTGGGTTCTGAAGATGAGTTCAAGAACTGGAGCCTTTATGCTCCTGATCTTGCTTTATTTCCAAATTTGTTCTGTATATGCGCTCACAAATGTTTTAGACAGTAAGTATATACAAGCATATAGATGATGAACATGGGTTTTCTCCTAAATCGTTAAGAAATAATTTTCATATGGTGCAGGTTCTCCTTTAAAAGCCGTGAAGGATGAATGGACCACTCCTCCTGATGGTTGGGAAGGCTCTGATCCTTGTGGAACCAATTGGGTTGGAATTAAATGTAGAAATGACCGTGTCATCTCAATGTAAAAAGCTTGATTTTGTTTTTTGTTTTTTGTTTTTTTTTCTGCTTCTTCCAGTTATCCTTGCCGACTTTTAAGTTTTGTGTTGTTGCTTCTTGCTTGTTGCAGATCACTAGGTAACCTTAACTTGGTAGGAAATCTTGCTCCTGATATTTCGTTCTTGTCAGAGTTGGAGATCTTGTATGTCTTTCTTCTACTTTCTATTCTTTTCCTTTCACATAAAGAAAAGGTTTTTGTTCTCATCTTATGATCCAATCTTTGTAGGGATTTGTCTTACAATACTGGGTTGACTGGACCACTTCCATCAAATATCGGTAGCCTTAAGAACTTGAAGAGCTTGTAAGGAAACACAATATTGTTAGATCCCTAGTACAACTTATATGCACATCTCCTTGTCTTATCTACTATTCTAACTAACTCTCTTTTACGCTCCAGGATTCTTGTGGGATGTCGTTTCAGTGGTGCAATCCCTGACTCCATTGGATCTCTTAAAGAACTTGTATATCTGTAAGATTTTGTTGCTTCCTATGATTATAAACAGTCTCCTTTTTCAATTGCATTAGTACTAATTAGTGTATTTCTCCATACAGCTCACTAAATTTAAATGGATTTACTGGAACGATTCCGGCTTCCATTGGGCGGTTATCGAAACTATATTGGTTCGATATAGCTGACAATCAGATCGAGGGAGAGCTTCCAGTTTCTAATGGGACTTCTTCACCTGGACTTGACATGCTTCTTGCAACTAAGCATTTGTATATATAATCCCCAAATATTTCCATTTCGATTATTGTAATCACTCATTTTAAAATAAGTACTAATTTATCTGACTCTCCTTCACTTTCTCTTGTAGTCATTTTGGGAAAAACAGGCTTTCTGGCAAGATACCAGAAGAACTTTTCAGCTCAAACATGACTTTGATACATGTGTAAGCTTCATATTAGATATAAAGCAGAGGAGATTGCACAATTTGAGAGTAGACACTTACAAAGCAACTGCATTGTTTGTTTTTTATCGATAGGCTCTTGGATGGAAACCAATTCACAGGTGAAGTCCCAGAGACCCTCGGCCTCGTTAAGACGTTGACGGTGTTGTAAGTAGTAAAATATATTTATTATTTTTCTTTTTTCGTTTTTCTTTTTTTCTTATGTTAATTATCTTATTTCCTTAATCTCATGTGTTTTTCTTCTTTCTTTTGTTGCATGCAGACGTCTTGATAGGAATAAACTAACTGGAAATATTCCTTCAGGTCTTAATAATCTCACAAGTCTTCAAGAACTGTGAGTGAGCAACTAAATTTTTGTTCTTCGTTACATATAAGTGAAAAGAGGTAAAAGATTTTGTAGTTAATTGAATATATTTCAGGTACTTGGCCAACAACAAATTTACTGGTAGTCTCCCAAATTTAAACGGCTTGACCAGTCTCTACACATTGTAAGTTTCTTCATATTTCTCTTTCTCTGTTGCTGCTCAATCAACCATCACTAGCTACTCTTCTCAAGCCTTCATTCTTTATCAATCTGATCCCATGATGTGGCTGTAATGTAACAGAGATGTTAGCAATAACACTTTGGATTTCTCACCCATTCCATCATGGATCTCTTCATTACGTTCCCTGTCAACATTGTAGGAACATCTCTCTTTCTCTCTTGATTTCCATTGATCTCCATGCGTATACTCGCTAAAGACAAGTGTTTTTATGCTTTGCAGAAGGATGGAAGGGATCCAACTTAATGGTTCAATACCAATCTCATTTTTCAGCCCTGCTCAATTGCAGACTGTGTGAGTGGAAAAAAATACATGAAATTGGAAATCAGCTCAAAGTTGTGAAACCTGTACTTATTAGGGTGCTTCTTTTTTTTTTTCCTGAGTTGCAGTATCCTAAAGCGCAACGGTATAGTGGAAACCTTGGACTTTGGTACCGACTATAGCAACCAGCTGGAGTTTGTGGATTTACAATACAATGAGATATCTGAGTATAAGCCAGCATCTAATAAAGCCATCCAAGTAATGTATGTATCCTTATCACAAATTAAATTCACTTCCTTTTCTCAACCTATTTCTTATGTCTGTTGATATATCTACAGATTGGCAAATAATCCTGTGTGCATGGAGGCGGGAAACCGAGCGAGTTACTGCTCAGCAATCCAACACAATACCTCCTTTTCTACACTCCCAACAAACTGTTCCCCCTGTGAACAGAACATGGAAGCTAGTCCCACATGCCGCTGTGCGCATCCATTCACGGGAACACTCTACTTCAGGTCTCCTTCCTTTTCAGGGTTGTTCAACTCCACCAACTTCTCAATCCTACAGAAGGCAATCACGGATTTCTTTAAGAAGTTCAATTATCCTGTAGATTCCGTGGGTGTCCGAAATATTAGAGAGAATGCAACTGATCATCAGCTTCTAATAGATCTCCTGGTCTTTCCATTAGGCAGAGATAGTTTTAATCAGACAGGAATGTCACTTGTTGGTTTTGCGTTTAGTAACCAGACGTATAAGCCTCCTCCTATATTTGGCCCTTACATTTTCAAAGCCGATCTGTACAAGAAGTTCTCTGGTATGATGAAACTGGTCTTACACACTCAAAACGGATTTAATATTGGTTCCATTTAAGTTTATTTGCTCTGCCTTTTTTTCACAGATGTAGAAGAAGGATCCAAGTCATCCAACATGGGCATTATCATCGGAGCTGTAGTTGGTGCCATTGTTTTTATACTGTTGTTAACAATAGCTGGGGTTTACGCTCTCAGGCAGAAAAAGAGAGCAGAGAGAGCAACCGGTCAAAATAATCCTTTCGGTAAGACGAAAACGTTAACTGAGCTACCACCAATGTCTTCTCCCTTGATTAGATTCTGACAGCTTTTCTATCGCATGTTGCAGCCAAGTGGGATACGAGTAAGAGTAGTATTGGTGCTCCACAGCTAATGGGAGCAAAAGCCTATACTTTTGATGAGCTGAAGAAATGTACAGATAACTTTTCAGAGGCAAATGATGTTGGGGGTGGAGGTTATGGAAAGGTTTGTGTCTTAACAAATGGCCTCAACTGAATGTAGCAATGGCCTTAATTGTAATTCTGATCCCGAATATGATATGGTGAAACAGGTGTATAGAGGGATTCTTCCAAATGGGCAACTCATAGCAATCAAAAGGGCTCAACAAGGATCTTTGCAAGGAGGGTTGGAGTTCAAAACTGAGATTGAGCTTCTTTCAAGGGTCCATCATAAGAATGTTGTCAGACTCTTGGGCTTCTGCTTTGATCGAAATGAACAAATGCTCGTCTACGAGTACATTTCAAATGGGTCTCTTAAAGACAGTCTCTCAGGTAATATCAAAACTCTATTTTACTTTTGAGGTTTTTTGATAGTTCGTGGTTGCTGAATTTGTTAGTAATACAGGAAAGAGTGGGATACGATTAGATTGGACAAGAAGGCTTAAAATAGCACTAGGTTCAGGAAAGGGCTTGGCTTATCTTCATGAGCTTGCTGATCCTCCAATTATACACAGAGACATCAAATCAAATAACATCTTACTTGATGAAAATCTTACTGCAAAGGTTGCCGATTTCGGCCTTTCCAAACTTGTGGGAGACCCTGAGAAAACTCACGTGACAACACAAGTGAAAGGAACCATGGTTAGTAGAGAATAAATCATCCTCCTCTCTCTTTTTTTCTTCTTTCTCATATACATTTTAAAATCACATTTCATATGGAATCAGGGCTACCTGGATCCTGAGTACTACATGACAAATCAATTGACGGAGAAGAGTGATGTGTATGGTTTTGGTGTGGTGATGCTCGAGCTATTAACCGGTAGAAGTCCAATAGAGAGAGGCAAATATGTGGTGAGAGAGGTGAAGACGAAGATGAATACATCGAGAAATCTGTATGACCTGCAAGAATTGCTGGACACAACAATCATAGCAAGCAGTGGGAATCTGAAAGGGTTCGAGAAGTATGTCGATCTTGCTCTGAGATGTGTGGAGGAGGAAGGAGTTAACAGGCCATCAATGGGTGAGGTTGTAAAAGAGATAGAGAACATAATGCAGCTTGCGGGACTAAATCCTAACGCAGATTCAGCAACAAGTTCAAGAACGTACGAGGACGCAATCAAAGGATCTGGTGATCCTTATGGCAGTGAATCGTTTCAGTACAGTGGGAATTTCCCAGTTTCAAAGCCTGAGCCCCAATGATTAATTATGTCTTCCCTCTTTTTTTTATTTTTGTTATTTTCTTAGTGACTGCATACTTGAAGTGCCTTGTGAATGTGAGCTAGCATGATTTGATATGTTTGTCACTGATTATAAAGCAGAGGAATGGAGCCAAACTAAGAAGTACCCACTCATATGAGTGTGTTTTTAAATGTAATGTTTCATAATTTGTTTCTTCGCATTACCACCAACACTATTGACATATCAATATACCAAACCAATCTTACTTTAAATCTCCCATTATCAGCTGTTTCCAAGTTGACCAAGTCTTTTATCTTTATGGTCTCCTCTCCCCAGTTTCTTGTTTTTATATACTTTTTGTTTGTTTCCCTCCATTTGTTCTAAGTCTTCTTCTTCTCTATCTTAGCATTATTGTCTACATGTTTTAGAAAGCGAGGTTGTGTTTTTTAGTAAGAAGATTCGTCAAACCTGTGTAAACCACATTCTTTTCTTTTCTTAAAAGATAATTTTTTAAGTTACAATCAGAAAAACAGAGGAAGAGAAAAGAAAGTCTTTGTTGGTCTTGATTCTTGAAGATGAGTTCAAGAAATGGAGCCTTTATGCTCCTAATCTTGCTTTGCTTCCAAATTTGTTCTGCGCTCACAAATGTTTTCGACAGTAAGTATATACAAGCATATAGATGATGAACATGAGGTTTTCACCTAAATCATTAAGAAATGGTTTTCATATGGTGCAGCTACTGCTTTAAAAGCCATGAAGGATGAATGGACCACTCCTCCTGATGGTTGGGAAGGCTCTGATCCTTGTGGAACCAATTGGGTTGGAGTTAAATGTAGAAATGACAGTGTCATTTCAATGTAAAAAAGCTTGTTTGTTTTTAATTTGGTTTCCTGCTTCTTCCAATCATCCTTGTCGACCTTTTAAGTGTTGTGTTGTTGCAGATCACTAAGTAACCTTAACTTGGAAGGAAAGCTTGCTCCCGATATAACTATCTTGTCTGAATTGGAGATCTTGTATGTCTTTCTTCTACTTTCCTTGTTACAGAAAAAAGAAAAAAACTTGTTCTCATCTTATGATCGATCCAATCTTGGTAGGGATTTGTCATACAATACAGGGCTGACAGGACCACTTCCAGTAAAAATTGGTGACCTTAAGAAGTTGAAGAGCTTGTAAGGAAACACAATATCGTTAGCTAGATCTCTTTTAGTATAAACTTATATACACATCTCCTTGTCTTATCTCTACTATTCTAACTAGCTCACTCTCTTTTACTCTTCAGGATTGTTGTGCGATGTAGTTTCAGTGGTGAAATCCCTGAGTCCATTGGTTCTCTTAAAGAACTTGTATATCTGTAAGATTTTATTGTTTCCTATTATTTATTATAAACAGTCTCCTTAGTATTAATTTGTGACTTTCTCCACAGCTCCCTGAATTTAAATAAATTTACTGGAATGATTCCGGCTTCCATTGGACGGTTATCGAAGCTGTACTGGTTCGATATAGCTGACAATCAAATCGAGGGAGAGCTTCCGGTTTCTAATAGCACTTCTTCACCTGGACTTGACATGCTTCTTCAAGCTGGGCATTTGTAAGTAACTATTCCCATATCGAATATTACAATCACTCATTTTAATATAAGTGCTAATTAATCTGACTCTCCTTCACTTTCCTCTTGCAGTCATTTTGGTAAAAACAGGCTCTCTGGCAAGATACCAAAAGAACTTTTCAGCTCAAACATGACTTTGATGCATTTGTAAGATTCATACTAGGTATAAAGCAGAGGAGTTTTGAGAGTAGACACTTTACTAAGCCACTGCATTGTTTGTTGTTTTATCGATAGGCTCTTGGATGGAAACCAATTCACAGGTGAAGTCCCAGAGACCCTCGGCCTCGTTAACACGTTGTTGGTGTTGTAAGTAGTATATTTCTTTCTTCTTTTTGTTAATTAGCTTTACTTCCTTAATCTCATGTGTTTTTTCTTTCTTTTGTGACAGACGTCTTGATACGAATAAACTAAGTGGAGATATCCCTTCAAGTCTTAATAATCTCACAAGTCTTCAAGAACTGTAAGTGAGCAATTAAAGATTCGTTACATACAAGTGAAAAGAGGTTAAAGATTTTGTAGTTGATTGAATATATTTTCAGGTACTTATCCAAGAACAAATTTACTGGTAGTCTCCCAAATTTAGACGGCTTGACCGGTCTCTACACATTGTAAGTTTCTCTTCCTCTTTTTCTGCTCAATCTACCATCACTAGCTAGTAGCTACCATTCTAAACAAACCTTCAATCTTAATGTAATAGGGATGTGAGCAATAACACTTTGGATGCCTCACCCGTTCCACTATGGCTTTCCTCGTTACAGTCACTGGCGACATTGTATGAGCTTTCCTCTCACTCTTTCTCTCTTTTGACCTCCATGTGTATTCTTACTAAGAACAAATGGTCTTTCTCCGTCGCAGAAGGATGGAAGGGATCCAACTCATAGGTCCATTACCAACCTTCCTCTTCAGCGCCTATACTCAGTTGCAGACTGCGTGAGTACTCACACACAATTCTTTACATTGGAAATTAACTAAAGTTGTGAAACATGTACTGATCATTGGGATTGCCTTGCTTTTTAACGTGCAGTGTCCTAAAAAACAATAAGATAAATGGAACATTGGAGTTTGGTACAAACTTCATCAACCAGTTGGAGTTTGTGGATTTACAATACAATGAAATATCTGCATATATACAACCTTCAGCTAAGAAAGACCTTCAAGTAATGTATGTATCCTTGTCACATAACCAAAATCACTTGTTACTCTTATTTTTCCTATCTATTGCTTATGTCTTTTGATGTATATGTAACAGATTAGCAAATAATCCAGTGTGCTTCGAGGTGGGAAACGGACAGAGTTACTGCTCCACAATTCAACACAATACATCTTTTTCCACACTCCAACAAGTCTGTACTCCCTGTGAACAGAACATGGAACCGAGTCCCACGTGTCGCTGTGCGCATCCATTCACGGGAACACTCTACTTCAAGTCTCCTTCCTTTTCAGGGTTGTTCAACTCCACCAACTTCTCAATCCTAAAGAACTCGATCGCGGATTTCTTTAAGAAGTTCAATTATCCTGTTGACTCCGTTGGTATCCGGAACATTAGAGAGAATGCAACTGATCATCAGCTTCTAATAGATCTCTTGGTTTTTCCATTAGGCAGAGAGAGTTTTAATCAGACAGGAATGATACTTATTGGTTTTGTGTTTAGTAACCAGACTTATAAGCCTCCTCCAAGATTTGGCCCTTACATTTTCAAAGCCAATAAGTACAAGAAGTTCTATGGTATGAAGAAACTAGTCTTACACAATCAAACAGATTTAATATTGGTTCTATATAAGTTCATTTGCTCTGCTTTTTTTTTGCCACAGATGTTGACGTAGGTTACAAGTCATTAAACATGGGCGTTATCATCGTAGCAGTACTTGGTGCGATTGGTTTTATATTGTTGTTAACAATAGCTGGGGTATATGCTCTCAGGCAGAGAAAGAGGGCAAAGAGAGCAACCGATCAAATTAATCCTTTCGGTAAGACGAAAACTTAAACCAAGCTACTACCAAAGTTTGTTCTCTTGACTGGAACATCCTGACAGCTTTTATTTTGCATGTTGCAGCCAAGTGGGATACGAGTATGAGTAGTACCGGTGCTCCACAGATAATGGGAGCAAAAGCCTATACTTTTGATGAAATAAAGAAATGTACACAAAACTTTTCCGAGGCAAATTATGTTGGGGGTGGAGGTTATGGCAAGGTTTGTGTCTTAACAAATGACCTGAACTAAAAGTATTGAAATTCTGATCCTGAATATGATATGGTGAAACAGGTGTACAGAGGGATTCTTCCAAATGGGCAACTCATAGCAATCAAAAGGGCTCAACAAGGATCTTTGCAAGGAGGGTTGGAGTTCAAAACTGAGATTGAGCTTCTTTCAAGGGTCCATCATAAGAATGTTGTCAGACTCTTGGGCTTCTGCTTTGATCGAAACGAACAAATGCTCGTCTACGAGTACATTTCAAATGGGTCTCTTAAAGACAGTCTCTCAGGTAATATTAAAACTCTGTTTTCTTCTTGAGGGTTTCCTATAGTTCTTGGATGGTGAATTTTGTTAGTAATGCAGGAAGGAGTGGGATACGATTAGATTGGACAAGAAGGCTTAAAATAGCACTAGGTTCAGGCAAGGGCTTGGCTTATCTTCATGAGCTTGCTGATCCTCCAATTATACACAGAGACATCAAATCAAATAACATCTTACTTGATGAAAATCTTACTGCAAAGATTGCTGATTTTGGCCTTTCCAAACTTGTGGGAGACCCTGAGAAAACTCATGTGACAACACAAGTTAAAGGAACCATGGTGAGTAGATAATCATCTTCCTATCTTTTTTTAATCAGATAACATTTTAAATTTACATTTTCTATGGAACCAGGGCTACTTGGATCCTGAGTACTACACCACAAATCAACTGACAGAGAAGAGTGATGTGTATGGTTTTGGTGTGGTTATGTTCGAGCTTTTAACCGGTAGAAGTCCAATAGAGAGAGGCAAATATGTGGTGAGAGAGGTGAAGATGAAGATGAATACATCAAGGACTCTGTATGACCTGCAAGAATTGCTGGACACAACGATCATAGCAAGTAGTGGGAATCTGAAAGGGTTCGAGAAGTATGTTGATCTTGCTCTGAGATGTGTGGAGGAAGAAGGATTTAACAGGCCATCAATGAGTGAGGTCGTGAAAGAGATAGAGAACATAATGCTCCTTGCGGGATTAAATCCTAACGCAGATTCAGCAACAAGTTCAAGAACGTACGAGGACGCTATCAGAGGATCTGGTGATCCTTATGGCAGTGAAACGTTTCGGTACAGTGGGAATTTCACAGCTTCAAAGCCTAAGCCCTACTGATTAATTATGTCTTACACTTGAAGTGCCTTGTGAAGCAAGCATCCAATATTTTGTTTTCTAACCCTCCTTCTCGAGCCATATCTCTTACACTGTAACCTTCTCCACTACCGTATCAACATTATTTACTAAGATTTGGTAAATTTGGTCTTGTTCTAGTATTATACCTTATAGTAATATCCATCCCACGAAATTTGCATTGCCTTGCATGCATGTTGTGGGATGTTTGGGTTACAAAGATAACAAAAATGGGAAAAGTATAGTTTATTTGAGAATTAAGGTGTACTTACGTTGTGGATAATATCAAATAACCATCAGTATCATTGCTGTCGCAGTTAGTAATAGTATTTGTATTATTTAATTATCTCAAATTGTTTAATGCTTTTGCTGATTTTTTCTCATGACCAAGACTTTTTTTATTGCATGTTGTTGTTAAAATATCCATATCTGCATAGTCGTTGTCCATTACTCATTTACTCTGTTTTAGAAATCTCTCTATGCTCGAGAAGAAACGTTCTGGGAAAAACAAATAAGTAATATTTTGATGAATTCTTCCATTTTTGCGGAAACAGCTAAATACATATATTAGATAGATTTAGTTTTAAGTTTGGTTACATATTTGATTTATACGTTTATGATGAAAAAATATTATTGACATTTCATATTTTGTATTCCAGTGGACCTTTGAACTCTTCCGCAATAGCTAGCAGCATATATTATCTATTTCCAAGTTGAACTATTTGTTTATATGATCTCCACTTAAATTGTTCGAAGTCTTCTCCTTTTTGTATACTTCATGCTTTGTTAGCAAGGACACGAGGAGGCTATGTTTTTATAACTTGTGCAGACCACATGCTTACTTCTTGAACGATCGGTTATTATAACAGTCATTGTGTGTCTCCGAAGATGAGTTCAAGAACTGGAATTTTTAAGCTCTTGCTTTTGCTTTTGTTCCATGTTTGTTTTGTTTCTGCGTTCACAGACGGTTCTGACTGTAAGTATAATTAGATGATGATCCAGAGTTTTTTTTAGATGAAAGAAATTTCAAATCTTTCAATATTGGTGCAGTTACTGTTTTAGAAACCCTGAAGGGTGAATGGAAGACGCTATCCGAGAAATGGAAAGGCTCTGATCCTTGTGGAGCCGAATGGGTTGGAATTTCATGTAACAATAACCGCGTTGTGAATATGTAAGTGTGTAACATCTTGTATCTTATTCTTTGGCTTCTTCTTCCAATAAAGACTTTAATATTGTGTTGTTGCATTGTTGCAGATCACTAGGCAACCTTAACTTGCAAGGAAAGCTTCATGAAGATATTTCGAACTTGTTCGAATTGCAGATCTTGTATGTCTTTCTTCTTTCTTCTTCTTCCTTTGAATAGAAATGGACTTTTTTTGTTCTCATGTTATAATCTGCTGTTTCTAGGGATTTGACATCCAATCCAAATTTGACTGGACAGCTTCCACTAAACATTGGTAACCTCAAGAAGTTGACTATCTTGTAAGCAAAGCAAAGAAGATCATATAACCTGTTTGCCATGGTCTTGTCTTATTATATCTCGCCTATTATAATTGTCTACTTTTTCTTTGACCAGGAACCTTATGGGATGTAATTTTACTGGTCAAATCCCTGATTCCATAGGATCTCTAGAACAACTTAAAACCTTGTAAGATTTTGCTTCTACCTATTATTATTACAAACAGGCTTTTTTCAGCTGCAGTCTCTTAATCTAAATCTACTAAGTATTAATTTGTGTTTCCTCCATACAGATCCCTGAATTTGAATAATTTTACTGGAGACATTCCTCCTTCCATCGGACGGTTATCGAAACTTTACTGGTTTGATATAGCTGACAATAAGATTGAAGGAGGGCTTCCAGTTTCTGATGGGAAATCTTCACCTGGACTTGACATGCTTCATGCAGTTGGACATTTGTATAAATATAATTCCCAAAATATTTTTCATTTCCTTTTTTATATATATAATCATTCTTTTCAACATACTAATTAGTCTCTGTGACTTATCTCATTTTACTTTCTCTTGTAGTCATTTTGGAAATAACTTGCTTTCAGGTGAAATCCCAGAAAGACTCTTTAACTCAAACATGACTTCGCTAAAACATGTGTAAGTTTCCTAGTTACATGTGAAAGAAAGCTGAGAATTTGCACAAGTTGAGATTAGTAACTTACAATAGTGATTGCATTTTTTTGTTGTTGTTTATCGATAGGCTATTCGATAATAACAAATTCAGCGGCAAAATCCCAGACAACCTCAGTCTCCTTAAATCGTTGGAAGTGTTGTAAGTAGTTAACAAAGCTTTTGCAAAACTTCTTGACAAGAGATTTTTCAGAAAAATTTCTAATATACTGTTTTCTTTTTTACTACAGACGGCTTGATAGGAATAGACTTAGTGGAGATATTCCTTCAAGTCTTAATAATCTCACAAATCTTGCGGAACTGTAAGTGATCAACTAAAGACTTGTTATCATGTGTTTGTAAGATATATTTGAAAAAGAGGTAAAAGAGTTTTTGTGGTTGAATCCTTTTCAGGCATTTGGCTGACAACAAATTTACAGGTAGTCTACCAAATTTAGCCAACTTGACAAATCTCTACACTTTGTAAGTTTCTATTTATTTCTCTTCCTCTCGTGTTTCTCAATTTAACATCCCAAACTTCATTACTAATCAGTCTGATGTTATGATGTGATTATTCTGTAACAGAGATGTGAGCAATAACCCGTTGACAGTATCGCCCATTCCATCATGGATCGCTTCATTACGCTCGCTTTCAACATTGTACGAGACTTCCTCTTTCTCTCTTTCTTTAGATATCTATGATATATATTTGTGTGTATGAACAAATGGTATATTCTACTTGGCAGAAGGATGGAAAGGATCCAGCTTGACGGTCCAATACCAACCTCTCTCTTTAACCCTTTTCAGTTGCAGACTGTGTGAGTCAAATAAGAGACACATGAATATAGTTAATTGGCAAGTTGTGATTTGTGAATTCTTTACTGAATGGGACTTGTTTTCCTTGACCTGCAGTAACCTAAAGCACAATCTTATAAACGCAACAATTGACCTTGGTACAAACTTTAGCAAGCAGTTGGACTTTGTTGATTTACGAGACAACAAAATAATTGGTTATAAAGAAGCAGCTAATAGCCGCATCGAAGTAATGTATGTATGTATATATTCATCTTGGTCACAAATCAAGTTTTAAAAATTTCTAATGAATTACTTATGTGTTGTTGATTGATATGTACTCAGGTTGGCTGATAACCGAGTGTGCGAAGATGTGGCTAACCGGCTTAATCGCTACTGCAACGCAGTCCAACCAAGTTCCTCATTTTCTACCGTCACAAACTGTCGTTCCCCTTGTGGTCAAGACAAGGAACCAACCTCAGCTTGCCGCTGTGTGTATCCACTTAAAGGAGTATTCACCTTAAGGTCTCCTTCATTCTCAGGGTTTTCAAACACCAGTTACTTCAATGCGTTCCAGCTGAGTTTAACGGCTTTCTTTAAGAATGGCAATTATCCAGTGGACTCCGTGGCCATGAGAGACATAAGGGAGGATAAAAATAATTATAATCTTCTGATAAATCTCTTGTTCTTTCCATTGAGAGAAGAGCGTTTTAATCAGCAGGACATGAAGACTATTATTTCTGCATTTAGCACGCAGTCTTATAAGCCTCCCGAAAGATTTGGCCCTTATATTTTCGTCGCTGATTGGTACCCCGAATTCTCTGGTATGATAGAAACTGGTAACACAAACTCAAACCATATCTGTGATAGTTTAATATGACTCATTTGCTCTGCCTTGTTCTGTTTTTTTCCATATGTATAGGAGGTTCGAAGTCAGTACACATGGGCATTATAATCGGAGCTGTTGTTGGTGCCGCGGTTCTTCTGTTGTTGTTGACTATAGCTGGGATCTACGCTCTTAGGCAAAGGAGAAGAGCTGAGAGAGCAACTGATCAAATTAATCCTTTTGGTGAGAAGAAATGATTTAACACTACAAGAAATCTAATCAAAATTCCTGACACAGCTTCTCTTTTGTATGTTGTAGCCAAGTGGGACGCGGGTAAAAACAACACAGATGCTCCACAACTAATGGGAGCAAAAGCCTTTACATTTGAAGAGTTGAGCAAATATACTGACAAGTTTTCAGAAGCAAATGACGTTGGGGGTGGAGGCTACGGACAGGTTTGTCTCTTTTCATTGACAGAACATTAGTTGAAATTATGATCCTAACATGATGGTGAAACAGGTGTACAAAGGTGTTCTTCCTTCTGGTCAACTCGTAGCAATCAAAAGAGCTCAACAAGGATCTATGCAAGGAGGGTTAGAGTTTAAAACAGAGATTGAGCTTCTTTCAAGGGTCCATCACAAAAATGTTGTCAGGCTCTTGGGATTCTGTTTTGATCAAAGCGAACAAATGCTTGTGTACGAGTACATACCTAATGGCTCTCTTAGAGACGGTCTATCAGGTAAATATCAAAATCTCAGTCTTCTTTTGTTAGTTTTCTGGTGCTGATGAATCAAAATTGTAGGAAAGAATGGGATTACACTTGATTGGACAAGAAGGCTCAAAATAGCACTTGGCTCAGGGAAGGGACTAGCTTATCTTCATGAGCTTGCTGATCCTCCAATTATACACAGAGACGTCAAATCAAACAACATCTTACTCGACGAAAATCTTACTGCTAAGGTCGCCGATTTCGGCCTCTCCAAACTTGTGGGAGACCCTGAAAAAGCTCATGTCACAACACAAGTCAAAGGAACAATGGTTAGTAAAGAACCAATCACCAAAATATATGAAAATCTATTAACAATAAAAAAAACTCACAATATGTTTCTGGAACTAGGGCTACTTGGATCCTGAGTACTACATGACGAATCAACTGACCGAGAAGAGTGATGTGTACGGGTTTGGTGTAGTGATGCTTGAACTATTAACAGGTAAAAGTCCAATAGATAGAGGCAGCTACGTTGTGAAAGAGGTAAAGAAGAAGATGGATAAAACAAGGGCTTTATACGACTTGCAAGAATTGCTAGACACGACGATCATCGCAAACAGTGGGAATATAAAAGGGTTCGAGAAGTACGTAGACGTGGCTCTGAGATGCGTGGAGGCAGAGGGAGTTGATAGACCATCGATGAGTGAGGTGGTTCAAGAAATTGAGAGCATACTACGGCTTGCGGGATTAAACCCTAACGCCGAGTCAGCAACATTCGACGAAGCATCCGGTGATCCTTACGGCCAAGGATTCGTTTGAATACACAAGCTAGCTTCATCAAAACCCTAACACAATGTTTGATAAACTGTTTTTTTTTTTGGGCAATTTCGTAAGTGATGTTTGAACTGCATTGCCAATGTGTACGTACTAGCATGATTTGACATGTTATTATGCGGTCGCTGATAATAAAGTGTAAGTAATTAAGATCCAAACATATAAATTAAATAAAATCAAGCTTATTATAGGTACCCAAAATCATAATAAGAACACATAATATTGGCCCCAAATCATGTTCAATTACCAAAGAAAACACAGCCACTAAACTCCTTAAACATCTTATATTATGGAAAAAAGAAAAAAAAATTCCTAGACCCTCTCGCCTAGACGACCGTCTGGACCGCCTAAAATTACATAAGTTATATTTTTGCAATTTCTAACTGCTTATATTTAATATTTTAAGTTTTACATTGATATACATAATTATAAATGTTTATATGTTGTTGATATAAATTAAATAATTTATATAAAAAATATTGTTTATGATTTATTAATTTTATGTCTCTAACATATTTATTTATAGAATTTATATATATAGTATCATAAATATAATGTTTTTATATTGTAAACGTTTAAACCGCCTAAAATCGTCTAGATAGGCGTTCTAGGCACTGGATTATCGCCTAGTTGCCGTCTATCGCTTTCTTGTACATTGTACACTTTTTCAAATCAAATATATTGTTTAATAAAATATTTATTTATTAAGTTAAGCTAATTAAGGTTCTGACCAATTATTTTTAGTTTTGGTCTGTGTCGGATTAGATCGATTAAAGGTCGTGTTATCAGTTAAATATTTCGTTTTCTTTATATTAGTCACAATTGTAAATATTTAATGAATTCACTAACTCGTCCAATGAAGTCGTGTGTTCAAAATGTATAGTCTGTTCCCATTACCCCATTGACAATATTGCCATATAATAACCTTTTTGAAACCTTTGAGCATTCACATTATCAGCTGTTTCAAGTTGATCTAGTTATTATATGTTCCACTGTCTATTTCTTAATTACTCTATATGTATCTGTCACTTCAGTTTCTCAGAGTCTTCTCTTGTTCGTTAACAGTAGTTTACTTGTTTTTGTTTGCAAGGGGGCTTTGTAATATTTATTCTTGAATTCGTCTAACTTGTGGAAACCACATGCTGTCTTCTTGCATCAATCAGAAATAGAGAAAGAGAAAAACATATTTTCTATGGTTGTGAAGATGAGTACAAAATTTAGAGTCTACATACTCCTGATTTTGCTTGTCTTCCACGTTTGTTCTGTTTCTGGGCTCACTTATGGTTCAGACGGTAAGTATAGTTAGATGATGTTCAGAGTGTTTTGACATATAGGAAATTTCAAATTCTCTGAATGAGTTTGGAAATTGGTATAGCTGCGGCTTTACAAGCGTTGAAGAGTGAATGGACCAAGTTTCCTAAAAATTGGGAAGGTTCTGATCCTTGTGGAACCAATTGGGTTGGAATTACATGTACTAATGACCGCATTATTTCAATGTAAGAACTTTATTTTTTTGTTCCTTTGTTAATCTTTGCTTTGCCGCTTCTTCCTCTTAACACATTAACGTTGTGTTGTTGTTTGTGCAGATCATTAGGCAACCTTGACTTGGAAGGAAAGCTATCCGCCGATATTGCGGCTTTGTCTGAATTGCAGATCTTGTATGTCTTTCTCTTCTTTTTCTATACAAAAGTGGATGTTTCTTCTCTCTTCTGATGATCCAATGTTTGTATATTAGAGATTTGACATCCAATCCAAAATTGACTGGACCGCTTCCATCAAATATTGGTAACCTAAAGAAGTTAAATGCCTTGTAAGCAAAGCAAACAAGATCATAACCTATTTATCATTGCCTTTTTCTTATAATCAGCTATTATAATTGACTCCTTTTTTCTTCTTTCTCTAGGAACCTTATGGGATGTGGTTTCAGTGGTCAAATCCCTGAGTCCATAGGATCTCTTGAACAACTTACAACCCTGTAAGATTTTTGTTATTCCTAACTAGTATTATTATAAACTATTTCTAAACCCATTAGGCCATCAGTAACAATTTATGTTTTTCTCCATACTGCAGATCCCTGAATTCAAATAAATTCATTGGAACAATTCCGGCTTCCATTGGACGGCTATCGAAGCTATTTTGGTTCGATATAGCTGACAATCAGATTGAAGGAAAGCTTCCAGTTTCGAATGGGACTTCTTCACCTGGACTTGACATGCTTCTTCAAGCTGGGCATTTGTATATATTCACAATTCTTTCCGATTTTTTTAATAAGATATCTTATTAATATACTAACTAATCAACTGATTCTCTTTCACTTTTTCTTGCAGTCATTTTGGAAATAACAAGCTTTCAGGTGATATTCCAGAGAAGCTCTTCAGCTCAAACATGACTTTGTTACATGTGTAAGTTACATAGTATATGTTAAAGCTGAGAGATATTTTCACCAGTTGAGATCAGTATGAACTGCATTGCTTTATTGATAGGCTATTTGATGGAAACCAGTTGACGGGTAAAATACCGGAGAGCCTCAGCCTCGTTAAGACCTTAACGGTGTTGTAAGTAGAATTTTGTGTTCGTCCAAGTTGTTTATTTTTTCGAACTTGTTTAATCTTATATGTTTTGTTTTGTTACAGACGCCTTGATAGGAATAAACTGATTGGAGACATTCCTTCAAGTCTTAATAATCTCACAAGTCTAATGGAACTGTAAGTGAGCAACTAAAGTTTTGTTGTGTGTGTTCTGTAGATACATATACAAAGAAGTAAAATTGTTTCTCTTCTTAAATCCATGTCAGGTACTTGGCTAATAACAGATTTACTGGTAGTCTTCCAAATTTAACTAGCTTGACCAATCTCTACACTTTGTAAGTTTCTATATTTCTTTATCTCCTATTTTGCTGCTCAATCTAATGCCATGATGTGATTGTCCTGTAACAGAGATGTGAGCAACAACCAATTGCAGTTCTATCTCATTCCATCTTGGATCTCTTCATTAAGCTCTCTGTCAACATTGTATGCACATATATCTCTGTCTCTCTTTTATATAATTATGTGTATAAATACTTACAAAGAAAAACATTGTCTTCTACTATTGGCAGAAGGATGGAAGCGATCCAACTTGAAGGTCCAATACCAGTATCTCTCTTCAGTCCTACTCAATTGCAAACTGTGTGAGTAAACCAATACATGAAACATTATAAATCTAAATTTAAATTTTGAGATCTATATTGGTTGATATGTCTCTTCTTGACATGCAGTGTCCTAAAACGCAATCAGATAAACTCAACACTGGACTTTGGTACCAGCTATAGTAACCAGTTGGAGTTTGTGGATTTACAGTACAACTACATAACTGATTATAAGCCATCATCTAATAAACGCATCCAAGTAATGTAAGTGTTGTTATATCATAGTCACAAATAAAACTTAGAATTTTTTCATTCAGTTACATTTGTGTGTACTGCTAATATATATCCACAGGTTGGCAGATAATCCAATATGCCAAGACGCGGCAAACCGGCTGAGTGAATACTGTAATGCAGTCCAACACAAGACCACATTCTCTGCCCCTAAAATAAATTGTCCTCGCTGCGGTCAAGGGAAGGAACCAAGTCCAGCATGCAACTGTATGTACCCAGTCACAGGAATACTCACCTTCAGGTCGCCTTCCTTCTCAGGATATACCAACGATACCAACTTCAACACGCTCCAACGGGAGCTAGAGAGTTTCTTTAAGAATCCAAGTTATCAGGTGGACTTTGTGGCCATCAGAAACATAAGAGAGAATCCGACAAATCATCATCTTCTAATAGAGGTCTTGGTCTTTCCATCAAACAAAGACACTTTTGATGAGACCGGAATGAATAGTGTTATTTCCGCGTTTAGCACGCATACTTATAAGCAACCTCCGATATTTGGCCCTTACATTTTCATTGCCGATCAGTACAGTCCCTTCTCTGGTATGTCGTAACTTGTCACACAATTAATCTGGAAGAGATTTTTGTGTCCATATAAATGATGTGCTTTTCCCATTTTGCAACATATGTAGGCGGTTCCAAGTCAGCAAACACAGGCATTATCATCGGAGCAGCTGTCGGTGCTGCGGTTCTTCTATTGTTATTAACTATAGCGGGTATTTATGCTCTTAGACAGAGGAACAGAGCAGATAGAGCAACTGGTCGAAATAATCCTTTTGGTAAGAAGAAAAAGTTTTACTACTATAGAAAGACTCCTGATCTTGTCTGATGACAATTCTGACAGCTTAATCTTTTGTATGTTGTAGCCAAGTGGAATAAGACTAAGAGCAGTATCGATGCCCCGCGGCTAATGGGAGCAAAAGCCTTTACTTTTGAAGAGCTGAAGAAATGCACCGAAAACTTTTCAAAAGCAAATGATGTTGGGGGTGGTGGTTATGGCCAGGTTCGCGTTTTTTCGCAACCGCCTGAATTGATATAAGTAATGACGCAAGTTGAATTTTGATCACAATATATGATGTTGAAACTGCAGGTGTACAAAGGAGTTCTTCCCTCAGGACAAGTTATAGCAATCAAAAGAGCTCAAAAAGGATCTTCTCAAGGAGAGTTGGAGTTTAAAACTGAGATTGAACTACTTTCAAGAGTCCATCATAAAAATGTTGTCAAACTTTTGGGATTCTGCTTTGATCGAACTGAGCAAATGCTCGTATACGAGTACATTCCAAATGGATCTCTTACAGATAGTCTATCAGGTAATATATCAATCTTCCTTTTACGGAATTATGATTTGTTATTTTGTGTGCTAAATTTTATGATAATACAGGGAAGAGTGGGATTAGACTAGACTGGACAAGAAGGCTTAGAATAGCACTTGGTTCAGGCAAAGGTCTGGCTTATCTTCATGAGCTTGCTGATCCTCCAATTATACATAGAGATATCAAATCAAATAACATATTACTTGATGAAACTCTAACCGCAAAGGTTGCTGACTTCGGCCTTTCCAAACTTGTTGGAGACCCTGAGAAAGTTCATGTGACAACACAAGTGAAAGGAACATTGGTTAGTAGAGAATAATATAATCCTCCTTTCTCTTTTTTTTTTTTTTTTTAATCTTTGTTAAATACATATTAGTAATATGGACTAACTAATCCCAAAAGCTAGCTCAAGGGAGAAGGGTTGCCACATCACATATCTATTACCCAAGAATCTATTTAACTCGTCATTCCTTTGGATCTAGGGGTACTTGGATCCTGAGTACTACATGACGAATCAATTGACTGAGAAGAGTGACGTGTATGGGTTTGGTGTTGTGATGCTTGAGCTATTAACCGGCAAAAGTCCTATAGAGAGAGGCAAATACGTGGTGAGAGAGGTGAAGATGAAGATGAATACATCGAGTGATCTGTATGACTTGCAAGAACTGTTGGACGAGACAATCATCAGCACTAGCGGGAACTTGAAAGGGTTTGAAAAGTATGTTGATCTGGCACTAAGATGTGTAGAGGAGGAAGGTTTGAAAAGACCAACGATGGGTGAAGTTGTGAAAGAGATTGAAAACATAATGCATCTTGCAGGAGTGAACCCTAACATCGATTCAGCAGCGAGTTCAAGAACATACGAGGATTCAAGCAAAGGATCTGGTAATCCTTATGGTAATGACTCATTTGCATACAGTGCGGATTTCCCAACTTCAAAACTCGAGCCACAATAATTGATTATGTCTGTTTTTATTTTCTAAGTGATTTTACTTGAAATGCCTTGTCAATGTGGACTTGCATGATTTGATTTGTACGTACTTTTGTTTGTCCATGTGTTCAAATCAATGTGCATACGTACAATTTTGTTCTTCTTATGTTGGTCATTATGGTTGTTCTGGATATGTTGTTGTATAAACAGTCTAATTTGTTTGATTATTTTGTTTGTTACGTTTTAATTTTTGTATAATGTATGGTTTATTTTATATTATTAAATTAAATATTGGTATTACAATATCTCATTAAAATGGAAAATATATATTATTTAAGTCCCTTTATAAAATTATATATTTACATAAAGAGGAACAAAATTAGACTGAAACTACAATATTTAGATGCCAATGATTTTTTATATATATATATACACACCAAAATTATGCATGTAGAATGAGAAACATACGTATAAATTTATGTACTTTTTAATTAAAATATTTATAATAGAAAGAAACTAGCTAATTGATAAATCATTTGGGTTGCCAAAAAAAAAGAAAATTAAACAACTATAATTAATCTCTCTGAGAATGGGAGGACTATTGGTCAATATCGTCATTGCTGCGATTAGTATTATTATCTAAAGTTGGTAAAACGCTTGTGTTGATTTTTTCCATGTTGGTTGTTAAAAAAGGTATTTCGTTGATCACGACTCTTCCACAAATCATATCTAATGCTTTTTATTTGGAGAAATCATAAATACTATCCTCGTATCATAATAACAATTATGTAAGAATTTATTTTTAAAAATACTGTCTAGGAAAATTCAAGAAAAAAATCATTATTTTACGTGTGTACGTCCTAGTTCATATATATATATATATATATTTTTGGTAAAATCCTAGTTCATATTACCATATTTCCCTAATGGCAATTCCATCTAATAACCACGTTTTCCAAACCTTTGCATTACGACTAGCATTCTCACCTGTTTCAACTTGAACTACTCGTACGTCACTGCCAACTTCTATTATTTATATGTTTTCAATTCAATTATTCAAAGTCTTCTTTTCCTATTTGTTTATATTATTGTGTTTGTTAGCAAGGAGCTAGGCTGTATTTGTTTATTCAAGATTTCGTAGTGACTTGTTCAGATCACACGCTTTGTTCTTGAATGATTTTGAGAAAAGACTTAGAAAGCAGAGTTTAGAGAAAAAGAGATTATTTTGTGTGCTTGAAGATGAGTTCAAGAACTGGAGCCTTTATGCTCCTCCTGATCTTCTTTTTCTTCCGAATTTGTTCTGTGTCTGCGCTCACAAACGGTGTAGACGGTAAGTATACTTATATCAGATTTTATCAGATCTAGGAATTTAGAAACTAATTGAATTAGCTTCAAAACTGGTGCAGCTAATGCTTTACTAGCCCTGAAGAGTGCTTTGGTCAAGCCTCCTAAGAATTGGAAAGGCTTTGATCCTTGTGGAACCAATTGGGTTGGTGTTACATGTAACACTAACCGCGTTGTTGACATGTAAGTATGTAAACATATTGCATCTTTTCTTTTCCCTGCTTCTTCTGATCCTTTGCATACTTTAATATTGTGTTGTAGATCACTAGGCAACCTTAACTTGGAAGGAAAGCTTCCTGAAGATATTTCAACGTTGTCTGAATTGGACAAACTGTATGTCTTTCTTCTTCTTTCTTTGCATAGAAATGTGTTTTTTTCTCCTCATCTTATGATCTAAATGTTTGTAGGGATTTGACATCCAATCCTAATTTGACTGGACCGCTGCCACCAAATATCGGTAACCTCAAGAAGTTGACAGAGTTGTAAGCTAACAAGATCATCAACCATTTTTAACCGCTCTGGCTCAAATGCATAGTTTAACAAACTCCTTTTTGTGTAGAAATCTTATGGGATGTGGTTTCAGTGGTCAAATCCCTGAGTCCATAGGGTCTCTAGAAAAACTTACAAAACTGTAAGATTTGTTGCTTCTTATTATTACAGCTCCCTGAATTGGAGTCTTATTAGTAGTTTTTTTTTTTATGTAATTGGAGTCTTTAAAACCCATAAGTATCAAATATTTATCTCCTTTATATACATACAGCTCCCTGAATTCAAATAATTTCAATGGAACAATTCCGGCATCCATGGGACGGTTATCGAAACTATATTGGTTCGATATAGCTGACAACCAGATCGAAGGAGAGCTTCCAGTTTCTAATGGGACTACTTCACCAGGACTTGATATGCTTCTTGAAGCTGGGCATTTGTATATATATAATCTCAAATCTTTCCATTTTCATTTGATTTAATCACATTTTAGATTTTAAGTGCTAATTAATCTGAGTTTCCTTCACTTCTTCATGTAGTCATTTTGGGAAAAACAAGCTTTCAGGGAAGATCCCAAATGAACTATTTACCTCAAAAATGAATTTGAAGCATGTGTAAGAATAGATTCATATTACATATCAGTATTGGACTTTGCATAAGTTCATGAGTAGTAACTAAATTAGTGACTACATATTGTTTATTGTTTCATTGACAGGTTATTCGATGGAAATCTATTCACAGGTGGAATCCCAGACAGCCTTAGCAGTCTTGTTAAAACATTGGTTGTGTTGTAAGTAATGGAAAGAGATTTTTCAAACTTTTTTTGTTGTTTGTTCATAAATCATATATATGTTGCTTTCCTTGTGACAGACGCCTTGATAGGAATAGACTAAGTGGAGAAATTCCTGCAAGTCTTAATAATCTCACAAATCTTCAAGAACTGTAAGTAAAAAGCATGAAGATGTTTGTTGTTATGTGTTTGTAGAAACTAATGAAAAGAGGTGAAAATAGTTTGTAGTTGAATGCATTTCAGGTACTTGTCTGACAACAAATTCACGGGTAGTCTTCCAAATTTATCCAACTTGACCACTCTCTTCACATTGTAAGTTGCTCAAGTTACCATTATTAGAAACCTTCACTCTCACGCAATCTAATACCATAATGTGATTGTTTTGTTACAGAGATGTGAGCAATAACCGATTTACTTCCTCACTTATTCCATCATGGATCTCTTCATTAGATTCCTTGTCAACATTGTATGAACATCTCTCTCTCTCTCTCTCTCTCTATCCCCATGTGTATATACTTGCTAAGAACAAATGGTTTTTGGCTTGGCAGAAGGATGGAAGGGATCCAACTTCAAGGTCAAATACCAATCTCCTTCTTCAACCATCGTAATAGTAGTTTAGAGACAGTGTGAGTAAAACAAATCATGCATGAAACATTTTTAGACCACTCAAAGTTGTGAAATATTTACTAATAATGAAATCTTTTTTTTTTGTCTTGACTACTTGTAGTGTCCTAAAGCGCAATTGGCTAAACGAGACACTGGACTTTGGTACTAGCAAAACTTTGCGGTTTGTGGATTTACAATACAATGACATAACTGAATATAAACAACCAGCTAAGAAAGACCTTCAAGTAATGTACGTATATCCTTGTCACAAAACCAAATGACTTCTTTGTTTTATTTAATTACTTATGAATGGTTTATATACATCTACAGCTTGGCAAACAATCCTGTATGTCCAGAGGTGGAGAACCCACCAGATGAATATTGCATAGTAGTCAAACAAAATTCTTCATATTCTTCCCCTAGAAGATCATGTCGTGACTGTGGTGAGGATAGGGAACCGAACCCCGACACGTGCCATTGTGTGTATCCAGCAACAGGAGTACTCACCTTCAGGTCGCCTTCATTCACAGGGTTTTCAGACAGTAGCGCCTTCAATAATCTATGGGTTAACCTAACAGACTTCTTTACCAAGTCTAGTTACAAAGTGGAGTCAGTGGCTATAGGAAACATAAGAGAGGATGAAACTGATCATCATCTTCTAGTAAATCTATTGTTCTTTCCATTGGGAAAAGATAGGTTTAATGAAACGGGGATGAATAATGTTATTTCCAAGTTTAGCATGCAGAGTTATAAGCCTCCTGAAAGATTTGGCCCTTACATATTCGAGGCCAATAAGTACGATGAGTTCCCGGGTATGATATAAATGGTTATACAATTCACAAATAATCTAACTTGTTCTAAATGACTCACTAGCTCTTCTTGTATTGCCACAGGTGAAAAAAGTCTAAAGTCATCATACATCATCGGAGTTGTAGTTGGTGTTTCTGTATTTCTATTGATGTTAATCATAGCTGGAATTTATGCTCTCAAGCAGAAGAAGAGAGCAGAGAGAGCAAATGAACAAATTAATCCTTTTGGTAAGAACTAAAGAACATGAGGTTTTACTACTAGGAAAAAGTGATGAATTGCTAAGAGCTTCTCTTTTGTGTGTTGCAGCCAAGTGGGATGTGAATCAGAACAGTGTCGATGCTCCACAACTAATGGGAGTAAAAGCATTTTCATTTGAAGATATGAGGAAATGCGCAAACAATTTTTCAATGGCAAATGATGTTGGCGGTGGAGGTTATGGCCAGGTTTGTGTCTTTGCAATGGCTTCAACTGATAAAGTTAGTAAAGAACATATTATATATTACTTGAATGCTGATCTTAATATGATGGTGAAATAGGTGTACAAAGGTATTCTTCCCTCTGGGCAACAAATTGCCATTAAAAGAGCTCAACCAGGGTCTTTGCAAGGAGCCTTAGAGTTTAAAACTGAGATTGAGCTTCTTTCAAGGGTCCATCACAGAAACGTTGTCAAACTCTTAGGCTTTTGCTTTGATCGTGGAGAACAAATGCTCATATACGAGTACATTCCAAATGGTTCTCTTAGAGATAGTCTATCAGGTAAACATCAAATCTCTAATTTATTCATTTAGAAGATATAAATAGCTAGTTTTTTTGTGCTGAACTAGACAAAAATGTAGGTAAAAATGGGATTAGACTAGACTGGACAAGAAGGCTTAGAATAGCACTCGGTTCGGGGAAAGGCTTAGCTTATCTTCATGAACTCGCTGATCCTCCAATTATACATAGAGACGTCAAATCAAGTAATATATTACTTGATGAAAGTCTAGCTGCAAAGGTTGCTGATTTTGGCCTCTCCCAACTGGTGGAAGAAGCTGAGAAAGCTAATGTTACAGCTGCAGTGAAAGGAACCATGGTGAGTAGACAATAATAAATCATGCATTTCTCTCTTTCCTAGATACATTCTCTTAAACTTTCAATATATTTGGATTTAGGGATACTTGGATCCTGAGTACTACATGACCAATCAATTGACGGAGAAGAGTGATGTGTATGGGTTTGGTGTTATGATGCTTGAGCTATTAACCGGTGAGATTCCGATAGTTAATGGTAAATATGTGGTGAAAGAGGTGAAGATGAAGATGAACAAATCTAAGAAATTGTATGACCTACAAGAACTGTTGGACTCTACGATCATTGCTACCAATGAGAATCTTAAAGGATTCGAAAAGTATGTAGACTTGGCTCTAATATGCGTAGATCCAGAAGGAGTGAATAGGCCATCTATGAATGAGGTTGTGAAGGAGATTGAGTACATAATGCACCATGCAGGATTAAATCCTAATGGAGATTTAGCTGCGAGTTCAAGAACATTTGATGAAGCAAGCAAAGGATTTGGGGATCCTTATGGAAACAACTCGTTTGAGTATAGTGCAAGTTTCCCAACTGCAAAAATCGAACCCCATTGATTAGTTATGGGATTTATTTATTTATTTATTCGGGTGCTACACCCAAATGTATCCGAACCAGTGGTGGAGCTAGAACTTGTACTTATGGGTAAAAATGTTGAACACTTGTTTATAATTATAGGATCAACTTCTTCATTGTATTGGGATCCATTTAAAAATCACAGTAAAAAAATGACTAGATTTTAAAATCACATGTACCAACATTAAGATGACCGAGTTTACAATCATCAAAATACTAGTATACATCAAATATTAGCCTATCAATTTTCTTATTTGAAAATAAAAGTGAAAACGCAAATAAATATATATTTCTAATACTACAATCATAAATTTTAATCTAATTATATTAAATCAAAAATTAATTATCTCATTCCTAGCTAAAACATAAATAAATGCGTCAGTAACTGGTTTTCTATATTTTGAGTCTTTGATATTAGCATCAGTTGGATCTTAACTATATAAAATCATTTATTTAACTATTATATTTTCTAGGATATAAAAATTTAGTAATGTGTGTGTTTTATTTTATATTATAAAGTTAACTATAGGTATTAAATTATCTCACCAAAATGAAAATATATATTATTTGTAACTTTTGTTTATAATTACATGTTAAGAAAATGAAACTATTTTTATTTACTTCTAGATATAACTTAAACCACACATATAAAAAAATCATTAACATAAAGACGAACAAAGTTATACCGAAATGGAATAGCTAATCTAAATGATATATTTTATAGCAATATTTTGTATATATATATATATATTGATAAACATACAAAGATTATGTAAATTTTTATGTCAAAATATAATTTCCAAAAAAAAAATAAGAATACAAAACTTCATAAATATAAAAAAATTTAATATTTGGAAAACTAATTAAATAGTTATTTGGGTTTTGCAAAAACAAGACTATAATCTGGATGAGACTGTGGGAGTATTAGTCAATGTATCATCAAAACCATAAGCATCTTAATTTCTACAACTATTATAATTAGTATTGTTATCTCAAGTTGGTTAATGCTTGTGCTGATATTTTCCAATGTTGTTGTTGTTAGAAAACTATTTCGTTGACCACGACTCTTCCACAAATCATATCTAATGTTTTTAGTGTAGATGTTTCGTAATCACTTTGAAGTTTAAAAATCATTAACGTAACGTGTGTGTTTAATACATTAAACTAGATTGTAACTCGGCCATGATGTCGCACGTACGGCGGTAACAAGAGACCAGTTCTCGCATTTTAATCTGAAAATGATAATTTGTCTTTTCCCATTACCCTATTGGCATTTGCTTCTAATAACAACCTTTTTTAATTAAGCTTCCATAATTCCATTAATAGCATTCTCATCTGTTTCAAGTTGAATTAATTTTTTTTTACATCGTCGACACTACCACAATTAATAATTATTCAAAGTCTTCTCCTATTTGTTTATATTATTATGTAGATAGATGTTTTGTTAGCAAGGAGAGCTGTATATTTTTTAATACTTCTAATAGTCTCGTAATAACTTGTGGTGATCACAAGCTTCCTTATATATTCAATGATTTTGTGATACAGTTTAGAAGTAGAATAAGAGATTAGTCTTCTTGGTGGGTTTGAAGATGAGTTCAAGAACTGGAGCCTTAATTTTGCTCCTGATCTTGTTTTTCTTCCGGATTTTTTATGTGTCTGCTTATACATATGGTCAAGACGGTAAGTATAGTTATATATATCAGATTTTATCAGACTATATATAGGAAGTACAAAATGATTGAATTGGCTTCATAATTGGTGCAGCTACTGCTTTACTATCCCTGAAAAGAGCTTTTGCCAAGCCTCCAAAAAATTGGAAAGGCGTTGATCCTTGTCATGAACCGGTATGGGTTGGAATCACATGTATTAGTAACCGCGTTGTTAACATGTAAGTATGTAAACATCTTGTGTCTTTTTTAATTTATTGCTGATTCTTCAATAGTAATCCTTTGCAGACTTTAACGTTGTGTTGTTTCTTGTTGCAGATCACTAGGCAACCTTAACTTGGAAGGAAAGCTTCCTGCCACAATTTCAACGTTTTCTGAATTGATATCCTTGTAGGTCTTTCTTATTCTTCTTCTTCTTCCTTTGCATAGAAATGTTTTTTTTCTCCCCTTCATCTTATGTTTTAATGTTTGTAGGGATTTGACATCAAATCCTAAGTTAACTGGACCGCTTCCACCAGATATCGGTAACCTCAAGAAGTTAAAAGAGTTGTAAGCTAACAAGATCATGAACCATTTTTAACAGCTTTCTCTCACGCATAGTTTAACAAACTCTTTTCTTTTTTTCCAGAAGTCTTATGGGATGTGGTTTCAGTGGTCAAATCCCTGAGTCCATAGGAACTCTTGAACAGCTTATAAGACTGTAAGATTTGGTTGCTTTCTTATTAGTATAATTAATAAACAATCTCTTTTGTAATTGGAGTCCATGAGTATCAAATTTTGCCTCCTTTTTATATGTACAGCTCCCTGAATTCAAATAAATTCAGTGGAACAATCCCGGCTTCCATGGGACGGTTATCAAAGCTATATTGGTTCGATATAGCTGACAATCAGATCGAAGGAGAGCTTCCGGTTTCTAATGGGACTACTTCACCTGGACTTGACATGCTTCTTGAAGCTGGGCATTTGTATTTATATAATCCATTTCTTTTGGTTTAATCACTCTTTTTAAATAATTAAGTACTAATTAATCTGACCATCCTTCACTTTCTCTTGTAGTCATTTTGGGAAAAACAAGCTTTCAGGGAAGATACCAAATGAACTCTTTACCTCAAAAATGATTTTGAAACATGTGTAAGCTGAATATTACATATCAATCTAGGAATTTGCATAAGTTGAGAGTAGTAACTAATTAAATAGGTGCTTACATTGTTTATTGTTTTATGAACAGGTTATTCGATGGAAACCTATTCACAGGTGGAATCCCAGACAGCCTCAGCAGCCTTGTTACAACGTTGGAAGTGTTGTAAGTAATAGAAACAGATTTTTTTAAAAATTGTTTGTTGTTTGTTCATTTTAATTTCGTAAATCATATATATGTTGTTTTCCTTGTGATAGACGCCTTGATAGGAATAGACTAAGTGGAGAAATTCCTACAAGTCTCAATAATCTCACAAATCTTCAAGAACTGTAAGTGGAGCAGATTAAAGATTTGTTATGTGTTTGTAGAAAATAAACGAAAAGAGGTGAAAAAGTTTGTAGTTGAACACATTTTTCAGGTATTTGTCCGACAACAAATTCACGGGTAGTATTCCAGATTTATCCAACTTAACTAAGCTCAAGACTTTGTAAGTTTCTCTATTATATATTTTCCCTAATTTCTTGTTCAGTTTACCATTATTAGAAACCTTCAGTCTCAAGCAATCTAATACCGTAATGTGATCGTTTTGTAACAGAGATGTGAGCAATAACCGATTTACGTCCTCACTCATTCCATCATGGATTCCTTCATTACGGTCATTGTCAACATTGTATGTACCTATCTTTCTTGCTCATGATCTCCATGTGTATATACTTGTTAAGAACATTTGGTTTTCGGCTTGGCAGAAGAATGGAAGGGATCCAACTTCAAGGTCAAATACCAATCTTCCTCTTCATCCCTCCACTAAATTTGGCGACACTGTGAGTAAAAAAAAATTCATGAAACTTTGATTAAAAAGTCACTCAAAGTTGTTACTAATAGTGATATTTGTTTTCTTGACTACTTGCAGTGTCTTAAAGCGCAATTGGCTAAACGCGACACTGGACTTTGGTACCAGCCAAAGTTTACGGTTTGTGGATCTACAAAACAATGACATAACTGAGTATAAGCAACCAGTTAGGAAAAATCTTCAAGTAATGTACGTAAACTTGTCACAAAATCAAATGACTTCTTTTTTTAAAGTTAATTACTTATGAGTGGTTTATATACATCTACAGCTTGGCAAACAATCCTGTATGTCCAGAGGTGGAGAACCCACCAAAAGAATATTGCAAAGAAGTCAAACAAAATTCCTCATATGCTTCCCCTAGAAGATCCTGTCGTGATTGTGGCGAGGATAGGGAACCGAATCCCGATACGTGCCGCTGTGAGTATCCAGCCACAGGAATACTCACCTTTAGGTCGCCTTCATTCACAGAGTTTTCAGACAACGACACCTTCAAAACTCTTTGGGAGAACCTAATAGTTTTATTTAAAAATTCTAAAGATCCAGTAGAGACAGTGGCCATAGGAAGCATAGGAGAGGATGAAATAGATCATCATCTTCTAGTAAATCTCTCGATCTTTCCATCGGGCAAAGATAGGTTTGATCAGTCCGGAATGGAAAGTGTTATTTCCATTTTTAGCACGCAGACTTTTAAACCTCCTAGCGGATTTGGCCCTTACATATTCAAAGCCAACGAGTACGACTTCCCGGGTATGATAAAAATGATTTATACAATTTACTCACAATCTAATGATGGTTCTATATGACTCAGTAGCTCTTCTTGTATTGCCACAGATGATAAAGGTCTTAAGTCATCACACATCATTGGAGCTGTAGTTGGTTCTTCTGTTTTTCTATTGATGCTAATGATAGCTGGGATTTATGCTCTCAAGCAGAAGAAGAGAGCAGAGAGAGCAAATGATCAAATCAATCCTTTTGGTAAGAACAAAAAAAAAAAGGTTCACTACTACTAGGAAAGAGGTGATGAAATGCTAATAGCTTCTCTTTCGTGTTTTGCAGCCAAGTGGGATGTGAATCAGAACAGTGTCGATGCTCCGCAACTAATGGGAGTAAAAGCATTTTCATTTGAAGATATGAGGAAATGCGCAAACAACTTTTCAATGGCAAATGATGTCGGAGGTGGAGGTTATGGCCAGGTTTGTGTCTTTGTAATGGCTTTAACTGAAATAATAAAGGAACATATTATATTACTTGAATACTGATCTTAATATAATGGTGAAATAGGTGTACAAAGGTATTCTTCCCTCTGGCCAAAAAATAGCAATTAAAAGAGCTCAACCAGGATCGTTGCAAGGAGCCTTGGAGTTTAAAACTGAGATTGAGCTTCTTTCAAGGGTCCATCACAAAAACGTTGTCAAACTCTTAGGCTTTTGCTTCGATCGAGGAGAACAAATGCTCGTATACGAGTACATTCCAAATGGTTCTCTTAGAGATAGTCTATCAGGTAAAAACATCAAATCTCTAATTCATTCATTTGAAAGGTATATATAGTTGTTTTCTACTGAACTAGACTAAAAAATGTAGGGAAAAATGGGATTAGACTTGATTGGACAAGAAGGCTTAGAATAGCACTTGGATCAGGGAAAGGCTTGGCTTATCTTCATGAGCTTGCTGATCCTCCAATTATACACAGAGACGTCAAATCAAGTAATATATTACTTGATGAAAGTCTCGCTGCAAAGGTTGCTGACTTTGGCCTCTCCCAACTAGTGGAAGAAGCTGAGAAAGCTAATGTTACAGCCGCAGTGAAAGGAACCATGGTGAGTAGACAATAATAAATCAATATCCTTCGATCTCTCCTTCCTAAATATATATTAAACTCTCAATATCTTTAAAATCAGGGATACTTGGATCCTGAGTACTACATGACCAATCAATTGACAGAGAAGAGTGATGTGTATGGGTTTGGTGTTATGATGCTTGAGCTATTAACCGGTGAGATTCCGATAGTTAATGGTAAATATGTGGTGAAAGAGGTGAAGATGAAGATGAACAAATCTAAGAAATTGTATGACCTACAAGAACTGTTGGACTCTACGATCATTGCAGCCAACGAGAATCTTAAAGGATTCGAAAAGTATGTAGACTTGGCTCTAATATGCGTAGAACCAGAAGGTGTGAACAGGCCCTCTATGAATGAGGTTGTGAAAGAGATTGAGTACATAATGTACCATGCAGGAATAAATCCTAACGTAGATTCAGCTGCTAGTTCAAGAACGTTTGATGAAGCAAGCAAAGGATCTGGTGATCTTTATAGGAACAACTCGTTTGAGTACAGTGCAAGTTTCCCAACTGCAAAACTCGAACCACATTGATTAGTTTATGGGATTGTTTATTTATTTATCTGGATGCTACACCAAAATGCTACGATTTATGCTATGAGAGCTTCATATGTCAAAATTGGCTACAACTCCTAGATGTATATGAGAAGAAATGAAAAAAGAAAGGGTTTCTCTGCTGAATAATACTTTTATTGGATCTGTATCGCTTATTCAAAAATTACAATAGATAGATGGAGCTTATACTTATACAACGGGAAGAACAATCTAGATCTTTTCTTAGTGATCAGATCTGATTACACTTGTCAAGCATCTAGCCACTCTCTTCTGCAACAATAGGACCAAACCGGTTTGATAGTACAATTGTCGGAGAACCAGTTGGGAGTGACGTCTTCACCTTCCTTACACTCTGCATATTTGTGTCTTTGTGTTGCAGAGAAGAGTTTTGTTCTTTTTGCCCCTTTGTCGTCTTTTGCTGGTGAGAAGAACTTTCAATATTACAATGTATTTGGGCCAAAAATATTTTATGGGGGTCAAAAATGTAGAAAATTTGTTTTATAGGGTTCAACGCCTTCATTGTATTATATTGGGGTCAATTTTAAAATTACAGTAAAAATTTACGTAGATCTCGAAATTTTTAAATTATTTTCTTTTTACTTCTTGCAGATATTATATACGCTACTGCAGCTACTCTTGTGAGAGCAGGCCAAATACATACATGTCTAATATTAGGCTATCAAATTTCTTATATGAAAATAAATGTGAATACACATATTAATATCTAATTTAATTCTTACATTTTAATATAATTTATACTAAATCAAAAATAAGTAATCCCATTACCTCAAAAATAAAGAAACGAGTTGTATTTATGATTACTTTGTAAGAACAGAAAATGAAAATATAACTTTTTCTTAATTTTTATTTACTTCTGGATATATAATAAACTACTGAATTGCATCTTAACTGTATAAAATAAAATCATTTAGTTAACTATTTTATTTTCTATGTTTTAAAACTTTAGTAATTTGTGTTTTTATTTTATATTATAAATTAACTATAGGTATTAAATAATGTCATCAGAATGAGAATATATAATATTTGTAAATTTTTAAATAATTACTTTTTAAGAATAGAAATTGAAAATATAAGATTTGTTTACTTATTTTTATTTACTTTTAGATATAACTTAAACTACACCAAAAAAAACCCATTAACATAAAGATGAACAAAGTTATACCATAATAGAATAGTTAGTTTAAATGATTTTATTTTATAGCAAACATTTGCATACATATATAGAGAACCATAAAAAATTTATGTAAATTATTATATCAAAATATAATTTCAAAGAAAATATAAAATAAAAAAGTTCATAAATATTTTTTAAAAAAATTTGGAAACCTAGTTGATCATTTATTTGGGTTTTGCAAAAGACTATAATCTCGTTGGGACTGTGAGGAGTATTGGTCAATATATCATCAAAACTGGTATAGTTTTCTTCTTTGTGCCAGCCAATTATTTGGTGCAAGGAGGAGGAGTGGGAGATACCAAGCCTGATATGCTCACTCTTGCAACAACTTTGCACGACGAAGTTTTTTGCAAGTTTCGCGAAGTCTTCCCTGCCAACCATATTAGCCTACATTGGCTTCTATCTCGGATCCATGTTGTTCTAGAAACGAACGCTGGTGAAACAGTTTCCAAACTTGGAGCATTATTGCAGGTATTGTTGCTATCATTGAGACCCTCTCCCACGTTGGCTTTGAGGCCTAAATGTATGCTTCCGGTGACTTTACTTACTATCATCGTGATTGTGGTAAAAGGTTTTGGAGTGGTAATTATGCTACATCAATATCTTCTTTATATTGACTATATTTCATTTAGTTTTGTTAAACATATCTCCATTTTTTGCCATGATTTTTTTGTAGTTTTTTTGGTACTATTTTTGTTGCCTCCTAAAACCAAAATTTGCCTTACTAAAAAAATAAAAATAAAATAAAATGTGAGATAAAAAGAGAGAGAGTTCCTAGATAAGACATAAGAGCATCCTCATTAGTGATGATCTTATAAAAGAGTATATGATGAATACAGAATATTATTTTCATAATATATTTATTATTTAATTAAATTTAAAGCAATTAAATAAATTAGACAAATATAATTAAACAATTTAATAAAATGAGTTTCTAAGCTGTCTCTCAAAGGCTTTTATTAGAGATATAATGGTTTCCAAGAGCACCTGCATTGGATTTGGAGGTAAAGAATGAGTTTTTAAAACCCAAAAAAAAAAAAAGGATGGAGTTTTAAATGAAAAAACTTGAGAAACTTATCTCATATGAGAGATCAACAACATATACTCTTGAGAGCCCCTAGTGGTCATATTTAAATTGGTACTCATTTTTTGTTAATAAAAATGATTAATATATGTATTTGGCTTAACATTCACAGTTGATGCTAGAGGCTCTTCTTCGTAGAAACTCTGATTCTTCTTCTTCCTTCTTTCTCAGTAGCAATAGAAATTTCATGAATTCAATTTTTCCCATTTCAATTGTTTTTTACTTTTACGGATACGTAAGTGACGACAAAAATAGGAGTCGTGCCTATAGCATATCAATTGACGAACACAAGTTCTATTGAATTGCTGGTTATTTGCTTTACTTGTCTTTTATGATTTTGACTATATCAGTTTATCAGAACCAATGCTACCAAATTATTATAATCTTTATAGTTATCTCTCATTTTAGAGTGTCCACCTAAGCATCCACATAAGCATTACTATTTGATTTACAACTATTTGATTTACATTAAAGGAAATATAAAACATTTCATGTAGTAGATACTTATGTTTTTAATTGATAGAATATTTTAAAATAAAATAAAACTACATTATATATTATGTAGAATAAATTAAATATCAAAACAATAAAACCAATACTATTACGAAATATATATATATATATTTCATGTTTTTAATTTATTATTAAATTTTACTCAATGAGAAATACGATATTACTAAAATCAATCTAAATTTATACTTTAAGACAAAGATATATAAAAAGGTCACACTTTATTTTGTCAAATTATATTAAAAATTTAAATTTTAAAAACAATTATCATCCATCTTCTAAAGTAATTACACTATTTATGAAACAGAGGTAGTTAAATTAGGAGTGAGTACTGGTCAATGTCTCATCAAGCATGTCATTAGTATTATAATCTCAAGTTGGTAAATGCTTGAGGTGATTTTGTTCATGTTGTTGTTAGAATACTATTTTGCTGACCACGACTCTTCCGTAATGCACTCTTTTCTTGAGATGGGCCGTTTTGGGTGAAACAATTTATATCAAAATGCTTTTAGTTTAGAGATCATGTCTAATGTACTTTGAAGTTTGAAATCATTAATGAGCGATTAAACTAAAAAAGAGTCCTACACTAGTTGAACTAGTTAATGGTCCACTGTCTCTACTCTCTATTTTCTCTAATTATATATGTTTTGACTTAAAAGTGTTCTAAAGTCTTCTTAACAGTGTTTTGCTAACATCTTTGTGTAGGAGTTTTGTTAACGAGGAGGCTATATACATACTCTATTCTAGGTTTCTTAATTACTTGAGTAGATCACATGCTTTCTTCTTGAATAAGAAAAATTATATTCATTGTGTGTCTGAAGATGAGTTCAAGAATTGGAGTCTTTATGCTCATGCTCTTGCTTTTCTACCGAATTTATTATGTGTCTGCGTTCACAAACAGTTCAGACGGTAAGTATAGTTAGATGATATGATCAGATTTGTTGAGATATTAGAATTACGAAATAGTTGATATGATATTCAAAATTGGTGCAGCTACTGCTTTACAAGACCTGAAGAGTGGTTTGACCAAGCCTCCTAAGAGTTGGAAAGGCTCTGATCCTTGTGGAACCAAATGGGTTGGAATTACATGTATCAATAACCGCGTTGTTAACATGTAAGTGTGTTAATTATCTTCGAATAATCCTCTGTAGACTCTATAACATTGTGTTTTTGCAGATCACTACCTAACCTTAATTTGGTAGGAAAACTTTCTGTGGGTATTTCAGCATTATCTGAATTGCAGAAGTTGTAAGTCTTTTCTTCTTCTTCCTTTGCATAGAAAATGGATTTTGTTCTTACCTTATGATCCAATGTGCTAGGGACTTGACATCCAATCTTAACATGACTGGACCGCTTCCACCAAACATCGGTAACCTCAAGAAGTTGACCATCCTGTAAGCAAGAAAGATCATGTCACATTCTTAACGATTTTTTCTTATCTACTAGATGTTAACTAACTCTTCTTTTCTCTAGGCACCTAATGGGATGTGGTTTCACTGGTCAGATCCCTGAGTCCATAGGAGATCTTGAACAACTTACTAGACTGTAAGATTTTGTTGCTTCCTATAATTATAAACAGTCTCTTTTGTGTTTGAAGTCTCTAAAACTCATATATAGTATATTAATTTGTGTTTCCTCCATACAGCTCCTTAAATTCAAATAAATTTACTGGAACAATTCCGGCTTCCATTGGACGGTTATCGAAACTAAACTGGTTGGATATAACTAACAATCAGATTCAAGGAAAGATTCCAGTTTCTAATGGGACTTCTTCACCTGGACTTGACATGCTTCTTCAAACTGATCATTTGTATATATATAATCCCAAATATTTCCATTTCATTTTTTGTAGTCTCTTCTTTTAAAATAAATAGACTAGTTAATTTGACTCTCCTTCACTTTCTGTTACAGTCATTTGGGAAACAACAAGCTTACTGGCGATATACCTGAAAAGCTCTTCAGTGCCAACATGACTTTGAAACATGTGTAAGGTTTTATACATGTGAAAATAAATATGTGCGTTTGCTCCATTGCGATTATTACCTAAATATGTGACTGCATTGCTTCTTGTTTCATCGATAGGCTATTCGATGGAAACCAATTCACGGGGGAAATTCCGAAAAGCCTCAGCTTAGTTAAAACGTTGAATGTGTTGTAAGTGGCTGAAGTATATTATTCATGTTGTTTATAGATCCTAATCACTTCTTTAATCTTATATGCTCTTTTCTTTGCTATAGACGCCTTGATAGGAACAGACTAAGTGGAAATATTCCTCCAAGTCTTAAAAATCTCACAAATCTTATGGAACTGTAAGTGAGCATATAAACAGAGTTTCATTCTTGTTTGTAAATTTAAATGAAAAAAAAGGTAAAAGAGTTTGTAGTTAAATCCATTTTCAGGTACTTGGCGAACAACATGTTTACTGGTAGTCTTCCAAATTTAGCCAGCTTAACCAATCTCTACACATTGTAAGTTTCTATATCTTTATTCCTCTTTTGTTGCTCAATTTAGCATCATAAACCTACATTATTACTCAATCTAATGCCTTGTTGTGATTGTTTCGTAACAGAGATGTAAGCAATAACAAATTCAATTTCTCACACATTCCATCATGGATCTCTTCATTACCCTCCCTGTCAACACTGTATGTGCATCTCTCTCTCTCTCTCTCTCTCTCTCTCTCTCTCTCTCTCTCTCTCTCTCTCTATATATATATATATATATATATATACATATTTCATATTTGCGTATATGTTTATGAAGAACAAATTGTCTTCCACTTGGCAGAAGGATGGAAGGGATCAACCTCGAAGGTCCAATACCAATCACCTTATTCAAACCTACTCTGTTGCAGACAGTGTGAGCAAAAACAATACATGAAACTTGGGTGGGAAGTAACCTCAAAGTTGTGTAATATCAACTGACTGGGATGTTTTGTCTTAACTTTTCAGTATCTTAAACCGCAATTGGTTAGAGGGGACGTTAGACTTCGGTACCAACTATAGCAACCAGTTGGAGTTAGTGGATCTACGAAACAACAGAATAAGTGAATACAAATCACCACCAACAGCTAACAAAATCATGCAAGTAACGTAAGTATCAAGGTAACAAAAAAAAAATCAGTTTTTGACTCTTATGATCAAACTACTTATGTGTGATAATATGATATATCAATCTACAGGTTGGAAAATAATCCTATGTGCCCAGCCGCAGGGAACATGCAGCCTAGTGACTACTACTGCAAAGGATTAATCCAACAAAACACCACAACTTATGTCTTGAAAAAAGAAAAGTGTTGTAATCCAATCACAGGAACACTCAACTTCAGGTCTCCATCATTCTCAGGGGTTTTAAACACCTCTTTCGACGACGATCTAGAGAAAGCGTTAGAAGAGTTCTTTAAGCATCCTAGCTATCCGGTGAGCTATGTGGCCGTTGGAAACAGAGAAGAGAATTCGTTTCATCATCTTCTAGTATATGTCCAGCTCTTTCCATATGGCAAAGAGAGATTTAACCCGACGGACATGGCCACTGTTATTTCCGGGTTTACCACGCAGAGTTTTACACCTCCTTATAGATTTGGCCCTTACGTTTTCAAACCCAATCCCTACAATCATTTCTCTGGTATGGATCAAACCATTCATTTGTTATATTGGTTCTATACAACTCATTTGCTTATGTTTTTGTTTTCCCACATATGTCAGCAAACATGGGCGTAGTCATTGCAGCTGTAGTTGGTGCTTCAGTTTTGTTGTTGTTGTTGTTAGCTATAACTGGGATTTATGCTATCAGACAAAAGAGGAGAGCACAAAAAGCAACTGATAAAATAAATCCTTTTGGTAAGAACTTAAAGAAACCATCTCTACATAAGAGTTATGTCTTGACTGAAACCTTTTGCTTTTTTACGTTGCAGCCAAGTGGAATATGAGTCAGAGCAGTATTGATGCTCCACAGTTAATGGTAGCAAAAGCCTTTACTTTTGAAGAGATGAGGAAATGTGCAGACAACTTTTCGGAGGAAAATGACATTGGCGGTGGAGGTTATGGCCAGGTTTGTGTCTTTGCAGTGTCTTCAACTGAAATAAGCACTGAACACTATATTACTTGCATTTTAATCTTAGTGTAATGGTGAAACAGGTGTACAAAGGGATTCTTCCCAATGGGCAACTCATAGCCATTAAAAGAGCCCAACCAGGATCTTTGCAAGGAGGGTTGGAGTTCAAAACTGAGATTGAGCTTCTTTCAAGGGTCCATCACAAGAACGTTGTAAGACTATTGGGCTTTTGCTTTGATCGTGGTGAACAAATGCTCGTATATGAGTACATTCCAAATGGTTCTCTTAGAGATAGTTTATCAGGTATTAACATAAACTCCCTTCCTTTGAGGAACTTTGATAGTTCTTTGGTGTTGGTTCTGACAAAGTAATGCAGGAAAGAACGGGATCAGACTTGTTTGGACAAGAAGGCTTAGAATAGCACTTGGTTCAGGGAAAGGTCTGGCTTATCTTCATGAACTTGCTGATCCTCCTATTATACATAGAGACATTAAATCACATAACATATTACTCGATGAAAGTCTAACCGCAAAGGTTGCTGATTTCGGTCTTTCGAAACTTGTGGGAGAAGCTGAGAACCCTCAAGTGACAACACAAGTAAAAGGAACTATGGTGAGTAGAGAATAATAATTAATAAATCATCCTCCTTTCTCTCTTTCTTAGATAAACTCACAAGTCACATTATCTTTGGATTTAGGGATACTTGGATCCAGAGTACTACATGACGAATCAGTTGACTGCGAAGAGCGACGTGTATGGGTTCGGTGTGGTGATGTTTGAGCTACTAACGGGTAAAACTCCAATAGATAATGGGAAACACGTTGTGAGAGAAGTGAAGATGAAGATAAATAAATCTAAGAAGTTGTATGACCTACAAGAATTATTAGACACTGTGATCAGCTCAAGCAGCGAGAATCTTGAAGGGTTGGAGAAGTATGTAGACTTGGCTCTAAGATGCGTGGATCAAGAAGGAGTGAATAGGCCATCAATGAGCGAGGTTGTGAAAGAGATTGAGAACATAATGGAGCAAGCAGGGTTAAACCCTAACGTAGATTCAGCAGCGAGTTCAAAAACGTTTGAGGAAGCAAACAAAGGATCTGGTGATCTTTATGGGAACAACTCGTTTGAGTACAGTGCAAGTTTCCCAACTGCAAAACTTGAACCCCATTGATTAGTTATGGGCTTGTTTAATTATTATGCTTTCAGCTTTGTCAACACTAAGCATGTGAGTTATGATGTAGAAATTGGAATTTAAGGAGTTTCTTGGTGCAACAAAAACGATGCACAAAATGTATCAAAATTTTGAATAGCACTTATCACACCTAAACGTTTATCTAATTTTTTTAGAAACTATTTTACTTGAATTGCAAATATATGTATTGGCATTGTTCTAACATTTTCCATTTTTTAGTAGAAAAATAATAGTGAGAAAGACAACATAGTAAAACAAATCATATAATTGTAATAGAATGATAATTCCAATGGTTTTAAATGACATATTACCCCATCTATAAACAGCTATCACTCTAGCCTCGAGAGAGGGGTTTAAGGTTTATTAAGAGAGTAAAAAAAGATGGTAAAGTAGCTAGCTGGCCTCTTAATTACGATCGATAATTCAACTCTTTATGTAAAAATATGGATACAAACAAAGAAAAAATAGGAGAGAACGAAGTACTAATTAAGTAGGAGGAAGAGAATTAGGTAGAGAAGCTTGAGCAAGCTTTCTAAGACTATCAATAATCATTACTAGCTTTGTGTTTAGCCTGTTCACAAAACACTTTGGCAACCATCCTACTGGATCCAACTGTAAAAAAAACAAAAAAAAAGTAAAAAATCAAAGTTAAACATGTATCAACGAAAAGACAAAAATAAAGGAAAAAGAGAAAAAAGTTTAAAAAAGACCTGAACAACATAGGTAATCATGCAAGAGGTATCTTCAAGCTTCTCCAAAACCCAACCTGACTCAACCAAAAAACCTCTAACAAATGAGTTGTGTTTCTTTTTCTTTGTTGGCTCTAATCCTTCTGCCATCTCTTTTGGTAGCGACGCAACCGCCACCACGAGAGTGCCGTCTTGCATGGTCTCACGTCTTTCATAGACAATGAACTCTCTGTTCCTAAAGAGTGGTTTCGAGTTTTCCCCAAACCTTAAACGGATCACACTTAGATTCTCATCTATTTCTCTAATATGTGTTGCTTCCACTAGGTCGCCTTCCCATTGCTGTCAATTTCTCCAATAATCATTATTATTATTATAATAATTATAACTCTTAATTATTAATGAAGTAGGTAATCAAACCTACCATGTGCTAGCTAATTTATATTAAACCAAAAACAACCTACCATATGTTAAATAAAAAAAAATAGTTACAAAACTTTATGTATAATTAATTTTTAAAAACTAATCTAATTTATAATTTCTAAAATTTATTGAGTAACTAATATATTTAATGTAATAAAAATCTAATTTATTTTACAGTATCCAGTTACACTTAACTTTTACATCTACTAAATTCACTTTTTTAAAAAGCTATTTTATGTATCATATATTTCATAATTTTTATTAAGATGTCAAACAAGTATACATATACAATATGTATTTCTAGTTCAATTAGCTAACCAGAATAATATGAAAATATTTTCTTGTAAGTAATAGTATGTGAATAGCTTTCTTAATTTTCTATTTGTGGACATACATAGTGTAAAAAGGAAAAAAAGAAAAAACATAATTGCATAATGTGGGGGAAGGCAATAAGAAATGATCATTACCTTGGCTGCGTCGATGGCATTTGCGACTTTGACGAACTGATCCGGAGAGACTGATGTGAGGATCCTACGGCTTCGAAACGAATGCAACGATCCAGTGTCGCGTTTTGAAATCTCTACACCGGTCGGGTCATGCCTCACGATCTTCCATCCATTGGTCGCGTTCCCTGACCGTCCGGCCTCAGAGGAAGATAAGAGCTCTTGGATACAGCTCTCACTCGCGAACCTAACATACCTTCTCAGCGACTCCTCGCTCACCGACCTAACAGTATACATAGCATTTCTTGATGATACATATAAGCTACAACGTAGAATAAACTTTATTATTAGGAACATGATTTTAACGTACCATGAGGAGCTTGAGGGGACTGGACCGTTCATGATCTTGTATAGAGGAGATTGAGGAATCCGGAGGTATGAAAACTTGTGTTGTGGCGCTCTTGCATTTTTAAGTCATATGGGTTTGGTTAAGAAAGAGAGTGAGTGAGAGAGAAAGAGACAGAGTTGAAAGCAGGATAGTGGGTAAGTGGGACAATGAGGGAGAGAGATAGCACATGCAATGACTAGTGGCAACTGAAATCATTATACATCTTCCTCTCTTACTCAAATCATTCTTGAAAATTTACAAATTTCTATACATTAATATATGTGTCTATGTTTTTTCAAGTTGGATTTGTTTACGAATGTTATTTTCTCATCATCCAAAAGATTTCGGATCCGTTGGCACGAACATACGCTCCTTCGGGCCAGAACTAGCAGACAACTACACTCGAACCTAAAGGAACCGCGACTTGTTTCATTCAGTTATGACTTATGCGTTGCTGGACCAAGTTACACGGTGGATGTTAATAATGATTATAATTACCTCACTGTCACAATATTGATTTATGATGTTTTTTGTAACTACTCAACAACACATCTTGCTAATGTATAATATATGGTTCATTTTTTTATAACTTTTGTCACTTTAAGACTCCTTTTTCGCTGGTAAACAACTTTAAGGCTCCTTTATATAATAAGATACCATCCCATGTGTCGATAGAACTCGATGTGGGCGGAGAGTGTCATCACAAATCACATCATTTTACATCGGAAATTTTGACATTGACTTTGGATTTTCAGTTTTTTTTTAAAATATCTTACGACTCAAAATGAGTCAGACACCTAGCTTAGGACGGTGCACACATTTGTTGTTCAACTGGATTGTGAGAAATCACATTTAGGAACACAAAAAACCTACATGCTCATATTATGAGAAATTGTTTAGCTTTATAGTTATTTTGTGGGATAAGAAAACTAATCTTATAGTTTTTTTTATCTACCAATATAGGCTTTGATTGGTGAACATAAAAAAGTTGTACAACTAATACAGTTTTTATATTCTAATAATCACAAAAATTTTACCAAAAATTTTATTAAAAACTTTCCTCTTTTACTATTTTTTTCTTACAGTTTGCATTATTCCGTAAAAGCTTACGACTCAAGCTTACTAATCAGACCATAGTTTGATCAATGCATATGTAGACTAGTACTAATAACTATTATTAGCCCTTAATATTCGCAATCCGAACGAACTATGTAATCGTTATGTTCTAGGATAAGATTTTGTAAACAGATATACTCACCGAAATTAGTAATATGTATTATAGTAATCTTGATGAAATTAATAGTTATATACTAGGAAACGTAACCTACTGTATATGAAAGAACTAAAGAATAAGCCAATTAAAAATGGATTAATTGGATTTTTAGTACATTTTTTAAACATAATTGTAGAAGTAGTACATTCACTATTCATTATTAGCAAACTAATACATTTTTACTATTTGAACTCTATTTAGACACTATTAAAAATCCTTTTAAATCTAATAACTAAAATATTCATCAAAATATATTTGGTTTCTATAAAATTTCAATTACATAAAAATCTATATTTTTTTCTCTACAATTTGATATGCATTTTATTAATAATTTCAAATATTTTTCAAACAAATTTTGATACGTCCAGCTATCCTTATGTACAGTTGTGTATCGATGTACGGAAAATCATCCGTACAGCGGTCTGTATATACGTATAATTGTATGTGTACAGATATTTCCTGGTCTATATATGTATATTTGTTTATGTGTAAATATGTTTATTTGTAGTTGTTTCCCTTTGTACAAATATTTGATGTACAATAATGTGTTACTGTACAATTGTCTGTCTGTACAGATATCTCAAATAGTAAAAATGTACTATTTTGCTAATTATGAATAGTAAATGTACTACTTTTATAATTATGTTTCAAAAACGTACTAGTTTGCCAACACACCCATTAAAAATACAGAAGTCTAGAAAAACCGAACACGACATTATCGGAATCAGTAATGTTTTGTTTCCTTTCCTCGGGCCTAGACTTTGGATTGTCTGTATCTGCTGGCTTATTCACGTGATTGCTGCAAAGTCGATCATACACACAACCATAATGTTTATACTTCTTCCTCATTATTGATTGAAATTTCATATTAATATATGTATCAAAAACCAAGTAGATATATCATATAAATACACTCATGATTCCTCACCGGCCAACAGGCCCAACAGGCCAACACCATCTATTCTTTTGTTTTATTTATAGAGAAAGAGAGTTAACAATATCCATTATAATACTACAAAAAGTCATCGAAAGAATACTCAATTTTTTTTGTTTGTGTGCCTCAAATCATTAGGGTTCAACTAATGAATTATAAGAACTTTGAGTTTTAAAAGAGAAAATAAGAAGGGACATACTTATTTTATCTACGTTCGAGGCTAATATGTTATTCTCTTTTCTCGTCAAAAGGTAGTAGTATATGTAATTAGTTCATTAGATAAGTTACTACAAAATTTGTTCTAGGATATTACATATGGACTACGTTGTGTATAAACTCTCTTTTTGCTAATAAGGCATATTCTATTTGAGTTTGCACTTCTAGTGATGTAAAACAAGTTAAAATCCTACGTATAAGATGTCGCTTACGCATGTTGATAGGTAACGATCATGATACCAAACAAATCCATAACAAATCCTAATTTAACAATTGTCAATCCACTCATTGCCAATTGGTTTTGAGTTGGAAACCATAACAATGTTAGCATTGATTTGGATGCTAACATTTTGATCTTGAGACTTCCAAATTCCAATATCCATATGCATATCAAACAACAAAATCAATTACTTCTTTTTAAAGTGTATATCTTTAGACTTATGGGGATGGGGATATATAAAATAATGTCTTTCAGAGCTCTCTTGACATAAATGCATGCTTTCTCAAGTTCTGTTTGCATCCTAGCTTTCTTATTTCATCAAATTCTACAAGTATATATTTAGAATGATTTGAGTTTTAATAAAATTTAAGACTATTTTGATGACTTTTAAAAAAATTATTGTGTTTCGTTATTTAAATCCGCTGCAATTTCACTGAAAACCATAAGATTTTGTTTTTCGTAATTCAATCATATTATAGATTTCATCATAGAAATTTATAATTTCATAATGAATTACACTATCGTAGAAAAGCAATTTAATAAATTTTATAATTAAATAATACAAAAGCTATCACTTAAAACATAAATCATTTTCATAAGTTTGTTAACTAGACACTAATAATATTTTAATTAGATGCATACTTTATAATTCTTTTGTGCTCCTTTCTATCGAAAGCCATGTTTTGCTCTCATTTTATATATATAACAAAAGGGACAAAAAAGACTTTTACACAATATGAAGCACACAAAAAAAAAAAAAAAAAAAAATTAGTCAAAAGGTCTTACGCCACAAATGCTTTATATAATTTTGATTCCTTACTTTGCTATTCAGAGAGAGTCACAAACCCAAACCCACACTTTCACTTTTCTTTCTTCTCTACTACTAACTCACTCCGATCACTTTGTCGACGATAATGGCGGACCTCTCCGTCGACGACTTCCTCAACCAGTGCAAACAATCCGGCGACGCAGCTTATGGCGCCTTGCGATCGGTGCTGGAGCGGCTCGAGGATCCAAATACTCGATCTAAGGCTCGGATCTTCTTGTCTGACATCTACAAACGCGTCGGATCCTCCGAGACGTCTCTTCAAACCTACCATTTCCATATCCAGGACATCTTCCTTGATCAATACGAAGGTATAGCTAGTTTCATCCGATCCGATTCCTTTCTCCTTTTACACGATCCTTTGAGTTTTGTTCTGTGATTAGATGGTATGAGTTGTTAAATGGATTTTGATTGAGCTTGATACATTGATTTGGTGATTTTTTTTTCTGAGAGTTATCTATCCGATGTTGCATTATTTTTGTTTAGTTGACTTCATGATCGGTTTCTTCGTCGCTGATGTATCGGTTTTTCTGGTTTCGATTTCTTGATTTTCCTGGAAACTGGGATGATTCCGGTGTCAATCTCTGCTAATTTCGTCGTTTTTTAATTGCAATTGCCGAGTAATTGAGAAACACGTTGGCGTGTTTGCCCAATGAATAGGCTAAGGATATATAAATTTAGCTTTTCGAGGATTTTTTGTCGTTTTCTTGGGATTTTAGACTTTTAGTGACACTGAGTCAGCTGCACATTTCACTTTTTCTTTTGAATGTTTATACTATTGTTATCTGTCATTCTCATATGAGTTCCAAAGTGATTCAACATGTGTCGTGTACCACCACCATGCTTATGAATTTCAAACATAGAAGTTTGCTGTGGAGAACATTGATCATGGCAATTAAACAAGTCGATTTTTGAATTCTAGTCTTTTGGGAAATCATATGAGCTTTAGGCTTAAGTACAGTGACAAACAGATTTAATATCAAATTTCTAACATGATATGCGAATGTCTCTTTAGTGTTTTAATTTGTTTTCCATAGCAGCAAAGTCTGCAAAACGTTCTGAAATGTATTCTGTCACTCTGAGTAGTATTAGAAGGCATGATCAACCGGAGTTTAAGATTTATATCAGCGGTTTAAATTGTTTTGGATGGTCTTGTACTTCCTGCAGTATATCTGTAACATCCTGTTGCAGCAGATATTTGGCTACCTTATGTATGAACCATGCTTTAAGTAGACACCAATATATCTTCCTCTCTTTTCTGCAGGCTTTCAGTCCAGGAAAAAGTTAACCCAGATGGTCATTCCTAGTATTTTTATTCCAGAAGACTGGTCATTCACATTTTATGAAGGACTTAATAGACATCCTGATACCATCTTCAAGGATAAGACTATTGCTGAACTTGGATGTGGGAATGGATGGATATCCATAGCCATAGCTGCTAAGTGGTTGCCTTCAAAGGTAAGTATATGTTCTATGGATTTTTTGAAGTACCATTAGGTCCAACACTGAAGCTTTCAATTTGTGTCAGACAAGTACATGTTTTTATCTTCCTAGAGGGGAAAATAGCTGTAGTAATGTCATCTTTTAGTATAATTCTTATATCTATTTTAGATATTTCCCCTCATATAGACCCTGGAAA